AGGGGCCGTGAGGGGCCGCGAGGGGCCGTGAGGGGCCGCGAGGGGCCGCGAGGGGCCGCGAGGGGCCGTGAGGGGCCGTGAGGGGCCGGGCCGCCCCGGCGCGGCTCTGCCCGGCCGGCACAAAGGATGGGCAGGCGGCGGCCGGGTCAGCACCAGGGTCAGGGCCGGCCTTCCCCTGCGGCGCCGGTGACGCTGGGGTTTTGGGAGCCCTCGGTACGCGACGCAGGGAAACTGGAACCATGTTCTGCCAGAAAAGTGGACTTATTTTCGGCGTAGCGGTGAGGGGAGATGACCCTGCCTGCCGAGCGCGCACGTTCGTGCGGATAGCAGCCGGCATCGCCTTCCACACTGTGCTGTGCAAGTGTTGGTGTAACAGCCGTGGAGCAGGAAAAATCCCAAATAACTATTGACACTGAGGGCTAGCAGCCCTCTCCTCTCCCTCTCCACTGAGGGAGAGGTTTCCTGCCTTGCTGCTGTTTAAGATCACCACGTAGATTTACCCCAAGGCAGGTTTGAGATGTCTTTCTGTGAACCACCAGTAAGCTGAGGAAGATGGGGGATTGAGGATGTAAGCTCAGTTCATAGTTTTACACTGATTTTCCGCTGGACCAGTGACATGCTGTCAATAATAGCCTTTTATTTCAAGTAATTGCAGGTCACCACGTGTATTTTTGAGCCATGTGTGGGGGGTCTTTCTTTATATCACTAAAACATTTCCACTTAGGACTTGGAATGCAATCGCTTTGCAATACACAGTAAAGAGCAGGAAGATAAAGGAGGATCTAGTATGAAATCAAACTAATAGATGAAGATAAGGAGATAACACCCTCTGTGCCAATGGCAAGGTATAATAGTAGTGAAGGGGGCTGCTAGCTCATCTTCTTTGTCATGGCTCTGTGAAAGAAAGGGTTTTTTAGAGCCACTGTCATGAATCTAATTGGGTTTTTGTTATGTCTTCTTTCAGGTATCTCCTAATTTTTAACAAATTCTCATTGTGAGGAAATTACTTTTTCCTGGAGGCTGATAAAGGTACTCTGCAAAGTAAGTACTCTGCTTGTGAGAGACACGGGTCATAAGAAGTTGTCAGTAATTTGGAGGAGCAGTGTCAAGGGGAGCACTGGTGCAGACGTCTTCACAAAGTCTCCACATGCTTCTCTTTCTGCTGGTCCTTGTTTGGGACTTTGTGGCTAATGAGCCTTCCCAGCAAGATGCAGCTTGCTGTTGGTGCTGTGTGAGGTGAGGGTTGTCAAGGTGTGCAGCTGGGATTATGAATTGCCCGTTCTTCTCTCTTGCATGATAGACACCTCCTCTGAGGAGGAGCAGTCTGGAGGAAACCCTTGGTACAATGTTAGCAATATTTCAGTAGATGCCTTCTCACTCTCATCCTTCCTTATCCTCCTTGGCCCCCAAATGCACTCAAGTTACTCCAACTGCAATCTCCTGTGAGGTGCTGGGCAGTTTTGTACTGTGCAGTGTCTCTGGATGCCTGCATGGAGCTGAGGATTGGTCTGTGGAGGCATCATCCCCCGTGCTTAACACTGCTTGGGTTAGTGTGGTGGAAAACCCGGGCTTGTGGGGTTCTGCTTTTGGTCATAGTTGGGATCTACAATAAATTGTGGCTTTGTGTAGACTAAGGGCTACAGGAGGGAAGAGCAATGTATGAAATGAGCCAGAGGAAGAAGCAGAAAATGAGATTTAGGGGAGTGCTGTACAGCCAAAGAGTAGAAGAGCTGGGAGTATTTTCCCCAGGGGAATCGTGATCAAAAAAGTAAGAGACTTGTTTTACTCACTAGTGTGCACTTGTGAGGGTTTGGTGAAGAGGGATGGGGTGGTGTGGAGCTGTTCTTGTGCAGCAGCAGCTTTGGTCTGTGGGCAAGGAGGCATAAAGAAAAGGTCAGACTTCACTCATGAGCTGTTTCCATTTCTGGCAAAAAGAATCAAGAAATCACATGTGGTTTATGCAGCAGATCTGTTGGCATCTATCTGATGTGCTATTTTGGAAACCATTTGGCTGTTTTACCCACCACACTGCAGGCTTTGGCTACAGGAATGATTCTGATGAGATCCAAGGAGCCTATTCAGCACTTGGGGACCATTAAGCACTGCAAGAGGAGTAGCAGTTTGGAGGGTGGCTTGTGGGGTGTGTATCTTCTCATGATTCAGTTCCTAAGGGTCAGACCCCCTCCTTGCAGTGGAGATATCTCTGCTGAATTCAGGAGTGGGAATAGGAATAAAACCAAACTTGGTCATTGAGAAAAAAGTCTTGCATTAAGCCTCTGCACAGGCAGCAGGAGTCCTAGGATCAGTAGCAAAAGGATTTCTTGCCAAAATGATTTCATGTTGCAGCAAGGGTCTGGAATCTGCTGCCAGGCCACAGCTTTACATTATTGTAAACATAGACATAGATTATGATTTATTTTTTTTAGCTTGAGCGAGTTTAACCCAAGTGAATTCTGCATAAATGTAAGCCCTTTGCTGACCCATTGGGAACTTCTGGGAAGTGTGACATCTGTGACTGTTAATTGTTTTAAATATTTCAATCTTAATCCCCTGTGGTGGTAGGCAAGTACCTAGGTAACCTAGACAGTATTTCCGGTGTCTCATTTGTGCAAAGATGCAGGAGATGTGCCCATAAAGCACAAATCCTTCCATCAAGAGGTGGAAAGAAGAGGCTGTAACTAACACAAAGGCCACACTTCATATGTGAAATGTTGACAAATGACTTGAACTTCAATTAAAAAAAAAAAAAAGCAAAGTTTTTCTTCCCTCAGCCATTTTCTTGTGAGCTGTTTGTCTCGCAGAGCCCCACGATGATCCCCCCGTCTGCGCCGAGCCCTGCCAGCGATGCCGCGCTCGTGGCAGGAGTGGCTCCTCAGGAGGGCTGGAGGCCGTCGGTGCCCACGCGGCACCTCAGCCACCGGGCCAACAACTTCAAGAGGCACCCCAAGAGGAGGAAGCACATCCGGCCCTCGCCGCCGCCGCCCCCCAACACGCCCTGTCCCATGGATCGGGTGGACTTCGGGGACCTCCAGCCTCAGAGGTCTTTCCTGGAGCTCCTTTTCAACGGGTGCATTCTCTTCGGGCTTGAATTCAGCTATGCCATGGAAACAGCCTATGTTACCCCTGTGCTGCTGCAGATGGGGCTGCCAGACCAGCTCTATGGAATGGTGTGGTTCATCAGCCCTATATTAGGTAACTTTTTGTGTACTATTTCTTCCCTCTTATTTTTTCCACTATGGTTTTTTTTTTGTTTTTTTTTTTGTTTCTTTTTTTTTTTTTTAATTTTTTGTTTGCAATACCTCAGCTGTTCATGAGTATATTATCTCGAGGTTAAGAAGTACTACCCATAATTTTAGACAAACAAATAGGAGGACAATTCTTGCTGTGCCCTGCCTGAAATAAGACAAATGTGTTCAAAATACCTGTTCTTTTAATAGCTTCTCAACCTCTTAAAACTTGTGTGAGGGTAACCTTTGGTTGCTCTGTTCCTGTACTTAAAAACAAGCATAAGAAGATCAGTGTATCCATTTATGTCCCCATGAAAAAAAGCATACAGAGACAGTTTTCAAGGGTGTGTGAAAAAAAGCAGAGTGGGATTGCCTTCTCCTGTTTAACTTGCTGAAACAAATGAGGTGTTCCAATGATGAAAGACCATCCACCACTGGTGATACAGGCATTGAGTTACTTGCCTTAGCACAGAGGCAGGGCTGGGAGTGTATCCATTACTATGGATACCACTTGGAAAATTTTGTTCTGCCTTTCCTTGTACTCACGACATGTGCTTTGGAAGAAGACATAGGCCCCTCCTAACAGGCTGGCACAGATTAATACAAACATCTTTCCTACTTCCATATTTGCTTCCTGCTGTTTCCCAAGCTAATCCTGCAGGGAATCTCACATGTGATATGGGATAAATGAAATAGTTTGTAAGGAACAGAGTGCTTAAGAATGTGTAACTTGTACTCTGACTCTTCACCTGGTGTCAAACTCTGTGTTACTGGTGCAGTGCCCTGCAGTGAGCAGCAGCACATGGTGTTACTGAGTCCCTGTCCTGGGCAGTGCCAGGCAGTCCTGTGTGTGCCCCTGCGTGACCAGTGCTGCCTGGGGATGTCACTGCACTGTGCTGTCCTGCCTCAACTGCCTTTTAAGGCATGCCTGTTTTAACTCCTCTGTGAAACAGGCTTGTAGAAGAATCCTGTCCATTGGTCATTCCTTTTTTCCAGGGTTTTTGCTACAGCCTTTGCTGGGAGCCTGGAGTGACAGATGCACATCAAGATTTGGGAGGAGAAGACCTTTCATTCTGGTTTTAGCAGTAGGTGTGTCTTTTAGAAATGATGGCCATAACACTTTAAAATGTTGTGCATCTCTCTTCTGTGACATCCCTTGTGGCACTGAGCTCCTGAGGTGTTGGGTGTTGTGGGTCTGAAGAAGATGGTGAGTGACACAGCTGATGCTTTGGCAGCTGCAGATCCACACATTAAAGCTTCTCAGAGTCTGAAAGGATGTTTTGAGGGTCAAGAATGTGGATGTTTTAGGCCAAAGTAAACTAGACATTTGTTAAGCTGGAATAGTGGAAGAGGATTATGTGTATCCTATAAGCCACACTCATTTCCCAGGCTGCACTGATATGAACAAGAGCAATAGTGCTTGCTGCAAGGCTGTGCAGGTAGAATAATGCTTTTGGAGTCTGGAGCTCTGCAGGCTTGCTTACAAATAGTGACTGATTTTGTTTTGGTTTTGTTCCCAGGAGTATTGCTTGGGCTCTCACTTATGCTGAATGGCAAAGATATAGGGAGTGCCTTGTCTGACACTGAGAATAACCACAAATGGGGGATCATCCTTACGGTCTGTGGTGTTGTCCTCATGGACTTCAGTGCAGATTCAGCAGACAATCCCAGTCATGCCTACATGATGGATGTGTGCAGCCCAGTGGATCAAGACAGGGGCCTCAACATCCATGCTTTGTTAGCAGGTATGTCTTCTTGGTGCTTCCTGGGAGATGTCAGCCCTGAGTTAACAAGCCCTGCTGTGACAAAGCAGGGTGTAAACACTGGTCTTTTCCTGAGAGGTATCACTAATTAACTGTAAAAAAAAAAATCATCTACTTATTGCAAAAGGCTCTTGTAACTACCACCACTCAAACAAGATACAGTCTCAGGCTGTTCATCTGAGGGTCCCTCACATATTTTGTAAGACCTATGGAAACAAAATTATCTCTTGAGGGAGGAGGTTTGGCTTCCTGCAGGTGTGGAGTATGTGTCTTGTAGTTGCTCTGTTGGAGGCAAAAGTGCATCCTGGGTGCTGTTGATCCCTCACTGCTGTCATCTTCAATTGCTGTGCTGCCCTGTTCTAGGAGACTATTCCACACTCTTGAATGTGTTTGTGAGTAAGAAAGGAGAGTGTTGAAAGACTTTCACCATGTGAATGGAGAGGAAGGTGCTCTCAAAACTTCCCTGTTCATCGGTAGTGACACAGTGGCAGTTTTGTACACTGTCAACACAGTGCTGAGTAATGAGCTTGCTGCACTTCTGAAGTGATTGGATCTGTCTTAGTTAGATCTGCATTCCTCATATGAGGAAAATGGATTTTCACTTTCAGGAAAACAGTCTTAGCTGAATGATTGCAGAGCCTTGTCACAAGGCTGGTGGACACTTCTGTTTACGGACTGAAATAGCTAAAGGTAAGGTGTTTTGTTCTTGGCAAAGAAAAATAATAATTTTTAATTATTTGTATCATCACTTTCACAGCACTTTCTCCCTCATTCTGTACCGTGTTGGTACATGCAGACTGTCCTTGTGGCACAGCTGTGTTTATTAGTGCATATGAAGTGAAAAGGGGTCAAATGGTAAAACAGAAATGTCAGATTCTACTCATGATTCAGTAGACAAGCGATGCTGTGCTGCTACTGACTTGTGGGACTGGATAGGGAAGATAATCTTAGCTCTGTTTTTCCACCAGGTCTTGGAGGTGGCTTTGGTTATGTTGTTGGAGGAATACACTGGGATAAAACCAGTTTTGGAAAAGCTGTAGGAGGGCAACTTCGTGTCATCTATGTCTTCACCTCAATTGTACTGACTATTGCTACTGTGCTGACTCTAGTTAGCATTCCAGAGAGACCCTTAAAGTCCTCTAACAAGAAGAAAAAGGTGATGAAAAGTCCAAGTCTTCCTCTCCCTCCTTCTCCACCTTTCTTCTTTGAGGACAATGTAAATGAAAACTCTGCTTCTCATAACTCAGCTCACATACATGCAAGTTTTACGAGTCCTGTTTCCCCCATGAGCCCACTCACGCCAAAATACGGGAGTTTTATCAGCAGAGACAATTCTTTGACAGGACTTAATGAGTTTGCATCATCCTTTGGGACTTCAAATATTGACAGTGTGCTTATAGACTGTTTTACAGGCGGGCATAATGGTTACATGACACTTCCAGCTAGTTTGTCCAGGCAGCCTGTCAGTGTCAGCTTTCCTCGGGTGCCTGATGGCTGCTACCATGGAGCAAATGGAATTCTGGAGCAAGGGGAAAGCAGCTTAACATCAGGGTCTGATGGTGATGTGCTGAGAGTGGGCTCACTGGATGCAATAAAGCCACGGTCATCGGGGATCTTGAAAAGACCTCAGACCTTGGCCATTCCAGATGCTGTAACAGGACACTGCCCAGAGAATAACAGAAGAAGAAATGTAACCTTCAGCCAACAGGTAAGAGCAGGAAATCAATATGATCATGTAAACATGATTGTTATTAATCTCTTCATATAGTTTTAAATAAGTGGTGCACAAATTATTCATTAAAGGCTCTTGTGACAGCTTCCTCATAAAAGTTATGGGAACAGCACACCTGCTATGACTCTGTCAGTAAAGTAGTGGGTAGAGTGTGAATTATGGCTGGCAGTCTGTCAGCTGCCTTTGTTAAGATGGCAGAAATGGGAATGTCCCACTCTTAACTGGGCCAGTTGTGACAGTCAGGTCAGTATTTTTAGTCCTGCTTCACTGCCAAGGGAGCTACCACATGAACGTAGAAAAGGTCACATTTTCATTGAGCCTGTATCTTCCCTTTCCACAGAAAGACCTGCAAAATAGGGCCAGGGATAGGATTCTCCCATGAGCTTCTCCTTATGGCAGTCATTACATCTGGCTCCATCAGGGAGGGGAGCTTTCCCTTACTGAGGGATAAGACTCTGACCTCACCTCCCACTGTTGGTGATAACTTGGAATGTCTGAGACCTCTGCATGCTGGCCCATTTTTTTATGATCTGGGATGAGGTAAACAGTCCTCTGTTATTTTTTTTTGTTTGGTTTGGGGATTTTTTAATTTTATTTTAATTTTTGGGGGTGGTGGTTTTTTGTTTGTTTTGTTTGTTGTTGCTGTACTTTTGACCCAGTTTGTGAGAGCAGACTTTGTTAGGGCCAGGATTTTACATTCTGGGCACACTGAGGTTGAGCATTGAGGTTAGCAAGCAATGATAATGTGTTTCAACTAAACTCATCCTCTTCTTCCTCAGTGTCTCTGAAACTTCAGTGTCCACATTCACCTGAAAGTGGGTACATCTCCTATAAATGCAGTGGAATTTATGCATTCCTGCTGTGCCTGTGCATCTGAATGTGGTTACCAAGTCCCCTAGTGAAGGGAACTGTTTCAAGCACACTGAAAGCCACAGTGCAGTGCTGCCATTGTCACTTGTTCCAGTCCAATACACTTCTTAACCACCAAGTCAACATACTCCAGCAGCAGAGTTAAACCTTCAGATGATCAGATAGGTGTGCAGTATTGCATACATCTGCTCAAAGGATGTTTGTGCCTCCCTTGCTGTGCTGTTGACCTGGCAGTTCTTACGGTGCAGGTTGCTAACATCCTGCTGAACGGGGTGAAGTACGAGAGCGAGCTGAACGAACCGGGCGAGACCGCGGAGCAGCCCCTGTCTGTGAAGCTGCTGTGCTCAACCATCTGCCACATGCCCAAGGCCCTCCGTAACCTCTGCATCAACCACTTCCTAGGTACTCCCAAAGCACCCTCTTGCCTTCACCAGGGAGTTCTGTATTTGCAGGGCACCCCTGATGAAGGCAGGAATGATGCATCTGACTCCATGTTCTCAGAAGGCTAATTTATTACTTTATTATACTCTATTATATTGAAGAATACTATACTATACTGTGCTATACTATACTAAAGAATACAGAAAGGATACTTACTCAATGCTAAAAAGATAATAATGAAAACTCCTGAAAGACTCTGGAAAGAGCCCTGACACAGCTTGGCCATGATTGGCCAAAGAGTGAAAACAACTCACAGCAGAATGCAATGAAACAATCACCTGTGGGTGAACAATCCCCAAACACATTCCACATGAGCACAACACAGGAGAAGCAAATGAGATAAGAATTGTTTTTCTTTTCCCTGAGGCCTCTCAGCTTCCTAAGAGAAAAATCCTGGGCAAAGGGATTTTTCAGAGAATGTGAATGCCACAAGGGAGGGCTCTACCTTGGGTGAACCTTTTTCAATTTTATTTATTGCTACAATGGCTGCTGATAGAGACAACTTGATTTCTTCCATATAGATACTAATAAGGAACCTTCTTAGAACAATTAGAAAGGAAAAAACCCCCAAACATCCCAGCAAAGCAGTAAAGCCTGTGTTCCTAGAAAGGGAGCAGGAGCCTAAACCAGCACATCTTAAGGGGAATGTTCTACAAGCAGAAAGATGAGATTAGTTTTGTTTCCATGCTTCCACCCTGAGGCTGGTATTTACTTTCCTCCCTTTGACTGCTGATGTGCAGGGGTCCCAGAACAGGCCAAGAGGAGGTGTGGAGCATGGCATTGCAGGAGTGCCTGTAACCAGCACAGTATTGCCTTTACTCTTAACCAGTGTGTCTTAACCCAGGTGTTTAGGAAGGGCTTGCAGTCATTCCAGTTTACACTGAATTGGACAGAAGGGACCAGGTAATTAATACTCATTGGCTGTGAAAGGAATTAGGGGATTATCTACATCAATGGCCTTGCTGCCAATTTGTGAGCAGAGTTTTTAACTGTGTCAGAGGCACTCTGGAGGCTGCAACCATGACATAAGAAGCACTCCTTCCAGTCCTGTGTGGGAGGATAACAGCAACCTGAAATTACTATGGGATGAGCCACTCTGTTAAACTGAGTGCTGTGTCCTGTCAGAACCTGAAGACAGCTCAGACTGCTGTCATCTGTTTTTCTGTCTTGCTAAACCAGTATTTTGTGGCCTTTAGTCAGCCTCGAGGTTTCCACTTAGGAATTCAAATGGTAAATCTTGGTCTTTAGAAGCCTGAATGTCTTTAACAAACATTGCAGCATTATGCAGGGGGAGCAGCGGTCTCAGATAAATGTGGCTGGATATTATGTAACACTCAGCTTGCACAACCTGTCCTGGGGTGTGATTTGTAATGCAGCTGATAACATCCATGTAATCTTAAGGGGAAACAGATATTCTCAAATCCTAATAAGTTACTTTTCTCTTTTTCAGGGTGGCTTTCATTTGAGGGGATGTTACTGTTTTATACTGACTTCATGGGAGAAGTAGTGTTCCAGGGGAACCCAAAAGCACCTCACAACTCAGATGAGTATCAGAAGTACAACACTGGGGTCACCATGGGCTGCTGGGGAATGTGCATCTATGCATTCAGTGCTGCTTTCTATTCAGGTACTTGGTACAGCTGTCTTAACTACTGCTTTGGGAAAAGATACATTTCTTAAAAATGGTGATTCTGCAACAAGTAGGCCAGTGTTTAGTTGCACACAGCCTACCACATGGCACAAGTGCTGTAGCAGGGTGTTCTTTTTCACCCTTTACCTCTGCTGCTTAGCTTGGCCTGCACTGACAGCAGGTGAGGTCAGCAGCCCAGTGAAGACACATCTCTTGTAGGATGTGGCTCCTTTCACAAGTGGCATTTTCAAAGTACATGGAATGCAGAGATACATGCAGCCACCATAGGCACAGTTCTGGTGCAGCACCACCCAGTGCCTGTGTGCCCCAGCAGAGCACTCAGGTGTCATGTGCCACCCCAGCACTCTGTCATGTGTGCCATGCCTCTGCCTGCCCACCCCATTTACCCCTCTGGGACTGGGGCACTGCCAGGCCTCAGCTCTGCCTTGCCCTCTGTGCAGACAGGGCAGCAATGCTGCGTCATGGAAGCCAGATTTGGAAGGGTCCTTGGCTGTCATGTGCAAGCCACCAGTTCCTCAGTGGTCCCACTGAGGTGTGGCTGCCTGAGCAAGGGTGACCCCTCAGCGGGTGGCAGTGGGAGGGCTGCAGGTCACCCCAGAGCTGTACCATTTCCTCACAGCCGTGCTGGAGAAGCTGGAGGAGCGGTTCAGCACACGGACCCTGTACTTTGTGGCATATTTGGCCTTTGGGCTGGGCACGGGCCTGGCCACGCTCTCCAGGAACGTCTACGTGCTGCTGTCCCTGTGCGCTACCTACGGCATCCTGTTCGCCACGCTCTGCACGCTGCCCTACTCCCTGCTCTGCGACTACTACCAGAGCCGAGAGGTGAGCCCCGGGCTGGGGAGGGGCTGGGGAGGGCCGGCAGCCCCGGGACGCCCCTCACCGTGTGCCGGTGTCCCCGCAGTTCGTCGGCTCGCAGGCGGAGGGCACGCGGCGCGGCATGGGCGTTGACATCTCGCTGCTGAGCTGCCAGTACTTCCTGGCGCAGATCCTCGTGGCCCTGGCCATGGGGCCGCTGACGGCGGCCGTGGGCAGCGCCAGCAGTGCCATGTACTTCTCCAGCCTGGTGTCCTTCCTGGGCTGCCTCTTCTCCTCCCTCTGCGTCACCTACGAGCTGCTGCCCGCCGACGAGCTGCCACCCGCCGAGGAGCAGCGCCCGCTGCTGCCCCGCGCGCGGAACGAGTGAACGGGACAAGCTGCCTCGGCCTCTGCTGCCTCTTTGCCTCACCCCTGGCCTCCCTGTCACCACGGGCTGTGCCCCCTGGGATGGCAGCAGTGGGCTTGGCACACGGGAAGAAAGGTGTGTGCTGGCTTTGCTGGGCTTTCCCCTGCCGGTGGAAGGTGAGGGTGAGGCAGCGGCGCCTGGCACTGCTCGTCCTTCCCCGAGGTGGCAGAGGCCTGTCTGTGCTCCCGGGGGGCAGCAGGGAGTGCTGGGGCCGTGCCCTGTGGTGCTGGTATCCCGGGGTGACTGCCATTGTCCAGCACGGGGCAGGAGACCTGGGCAGGACAAGCTCCCTGTGTCACTGCTGCACAGACCGCCACCGTGGGAATGGTGACGTGCCAGGCTGCGGGCAGGAGGTGCCACCTTGGCCAGGCAGAGCAGCCCTGGTCACCAAGGGCAGTGGTGGTTCCTGTGGGGGAGCTGCAGGTCCAACCTGCAGCCTCTGCCCGTGGAAGGCCTGGCTCTGGAGGGTGCTTTTCAAAACTTTGGGAAGGCTGAGAGAACTGGCCTTGCTTGGGTGGTGTAAGTCCTCTGTCCAGTGCCCTGGGCTTCTGGTGCACAGAGCTCCCACCAGCAGAACTGCTAAAAACACCTCTGTGGGAGCCAGCCTGGCTCCCACACCCCACTCTGGGGGTCCTGGCTGTGGTCCCTGGTGATGTTTGCCAGTACGTGCATATTCCATTCCTCATTAGAGTTTAATTAAGACTGCAGGAGTTTGTGATGACTTAGCAGGAGGATTTGTCCATAATCCAATTCAGCAGCAGTCCATAACCCAGTTCTGGGGAGAAAGGTCTTTTCCCATCAACCTCCCTTGGACAGAACGTTACTCTCATGAACTTTACTCATAAGAAAAATCATTTTCATGGAAGCCTCCATCTCATCATTCTTGTTTGTACAATCTCACCTTGGGGCATTCTGAAGCCTGAGGATCAGTGGGTAAGTGCTTGTGAATTACAGCTGCATCTTCCACATCTCAGTGAAACCACTAAAAGGGCTTTGGGTTTCATTACCTGAGAGATTCCTTAATTATTCTGATTTTAGAAGGTGGTATGTGAGAATTTTTACAAGTTCTAGTTAAGGCCAGGAGTTAATTTGAAATCATTAATGAAGCTATTTCTAAAGCCCCTGTCAGTCTGCCTGTGTATTTGGGTAGGCAGCCAAGTTCTGCCAAGGCTGGTGGGCATTTGGTGCTCACATGTGCTGTGCATGGCATCCCTGTAGATGATATTTGGCCCCTGGATCCAGAAGAAGGGTTTTCTCTGGGGAGTCTCTCCTTTTAAATGGGTTGTACTTCACTGTTCACCTAAGTTCATTCTGATCCATGATGCCAGTGAAATAAAGTGTGTAATCTTTAGTTGTTGTGGCTTACTGTAATCCAGTCCTGAAAGCATAATACATAACTTGTAAGAACCCCTCATTTTTGTCATCTGCTCCCAATTTTTATATTCTAGAAGCAAGTTTCATATTGACTTAAACAGAGGAATACTGCTGAAAGTATGAAGTCAAGCACTCAGAGATCAAGAACTGGTAGCTGTCAGACTGATGAGTACATTCACCTTTCATTTCTGTTTGGGCTTACATGGTGTCACAGCTGCAGGAACATCTGTGCCATTTCCTTCTTTATGGGGCAGCTGGCTCCAAGAGTGTTCAGGACAAAGCTGGGACAAGTAACTTGAGAAACAATGGCATTTGGCACTTCTGACAATCTAAAGACTTGACTTTGGAAAATTATTCTTATTAGTCTGCTTTGTAATCTTAATTTCTCTTCCTTCTCAAACTTTTAAACTCAAAAATTATTTTATTTTTTGTTTGTTTGGTCCCACTAGCTAATGTGGTGTTAGTTCTTAAATTATTTTTTCTCCTCTTAAGTTTTGTAGCCAGCATTATTGCACTAAATGGATTGTGAGCACTTTACTTTTCCAGGGAGCTGGAGCTGCAGATCATTTTGTTGTAAGTGAAAATCTTCCAAAAATTCATAAAATCAATGTATTTGATGATAATGTTTGTCTCCATTTCCCTCTGTAAATAATATCAACTACATTTATGTAGTTCTAAAACTATTGCTATGCCTGTATGCCTTGCCCAATGGACTCTGACATTTTCTGGTTTATGGGATATGGACTTTATTTTGCATAGGTATTTAGGTAGTGTTACATACACAGGACTTCTAAGTCAGCATCAGTGTGTGTTAATTTGGGGCTTTGAGCAATACTAGTGGTGTCTGGAAAAAACCCAGAGCCTGTCACCATCATGCAGAGTTTAAAATTGCACCAAATCCTTAGAAATAACTTTAAACAGAGGCATTGCTTACTTGCTTATTCTTTTCCTTTGTCAGACAGTTTGTATTTTACAGAAATTACTGTATATGGTCACTGGTGAACTGTGAGCTGCAAGGTGATGTTTCCCTTCTGGAATCCAAAGGCTTCAAAGATTCTGTCTAAATTTGCAAGTTACTGATTAAAAAAAAAAAAAAAGATGCATGAGTTTAGGCAGGAAAATGATTTTATGCTGTGCTGTTTTTCAGTGATGCCTAAAGGTTAATTTTGATTAAGTCCATATCATTAAAGGTTGCTTCATGGCAATTATTTGTGATGTTTGTAAATGTATTTATTACACTTGTACAAAGCAGGGAAAATGGGGAGAGGGATGGAGAAAAGACCTAACTGGTTTTCACATGTTTGTAATTCAGCTACCTGTGACCATTTCAGCATGTCTGCAGCTCACTCATCCTCTGCTGTGTCACTCACAAAAACCTCATGATGTCAGAACTTCTGCTGTTCTTTGGTTGGAAAAAGAACTCTTTTCAAGAATAAAATTTATATCTATAAATGTAGTATGTATCTAAGTATATCTAAGGTACCTTGGGAAGTATTTCAGTGTTCTCCAGACAACTGATTTTCTACAAATGAGTAACTAAGCATCTTGCATTCTATAGGAGATACACTTTATTAAAACAAGAATATGTGGAAAAGGTGACTTTCTTAATGAGTTCTCCCTCCCTCAGAGGTTGGTTACACTCACAGCTTTACTGAGAGGCAGCACTGGAACTTGTCCTTGCCTGACATTTGGTGACTCATTTGAGTGCTGCACAAAGGAAACCCCAAAAAGCTCAGGGGGGCATCTGAGGTAGGAGAGACTTTGGTGGGTTTGCTGTCTCTGGGAGCAGGGTCAAATATGGGACTAAACAGCAGGACTTGTAATCACTCCCCCAACCCCTCTTTAATCGTTCTCTTTTGCTTTTAAATGAACAAACAGGCCCAGAACCTCTCTGGGGAAAGTGAACACAAAACCAGCTGCACTTCTGTTTGCATCTGGCTGTGCCAGCCTGCCCTGACCCACTGCTCTGTTGCAGTAATCACAGCCAGGAGGCAGAACTGGCAAGAGGAGCTGGCAAAGGCAGAGGATGTGCCACTGCTGCAGGCACAGCACCTGGGAACTGCCTCCTGCAACGCTCCTGCAGCTGCATCGGGGCAGCAAATCCTGTGCTCGGCACCACGGGTGCAACGGGAACTCTGAGTGACAGGAGTCTGGAGAAAGCAGCAGCAGACGGTGCAGAGTGCAGAGGTAACATTTTAATGGGGTCAGACGCACCGACAGGGCCGGAGAGCCCTCGGGGCCGGAGCAGTCCCGGGCCGGAGCTGTCCCGGGCCGGTGCAGTCCCGGGCCGGTGCAGTCCCGGGCCGGAGCTGTCCCGGGGCCGGAGCTGTCCCGGGCCGGTGCTGTCCCGGGCCGGAGCTGTCCCGGGCCGGTGCTGTCCCGGGCCGGAGCTGTCCCGGGCCGGAGCAGTCCCAGGTCGATGTTATCCCGGGTCGGTGCTGTCCCGGGCCGCTCGGCCCCTGCCGGCCGGGCCGTGTCAGGCCGCGGTGCCGCTGCCGGGCTCAGCCGAGCCCTCGGCAGGGGCAGCCTGTGTCTGCTGCTCGCGCTGTCGCCGCCGGCGCAGCCTCTCGGCGCCGGTCACCGTCATGGGGTGCAGCGGCAGGAAGCCGGCCAGCCCTGCGGGGGAGAGCGGTGAGCGCGGCCCGGGCGCGGCCCCCACCCCCGGCACCCCGCGCCTACCCAGCAGCTGCTCGGCGGGCCGGGAGAGCTGCGCGCCGCAGCCCAGCCAGTAGCGCAGCCGCTCCAGGTTGAGCCCCGCCACCTTCTCGCCGTGCGCGTTGGGCAGCGGGTCCAGGCAGCCCAGCTGCTCCAGGTACTTCCCGTCGCGGGCGCGCCGGCTGTTGGCAGCCACGAGGCGGAAGAACGGGCGGTTGGTGCAGCCCCCGAGCGCGAAGCGGATGACGACGTGGCCGCCGCGGCCCCTCAGCAGGCGGCTCCCTGCGGGGACAGCGCGGGGCGGTCACGGCCGGGCCGGGCCGGGCCGGGCCGCGCCGGGCCCGCCGCACTCACCCAGCTGCACCATGGCGGCGGCGCGCAGAGATGACGTAAGGGGCGCGCCCGCGCGGTGGCTGCCGGGAGTTGTAGTCTGGGGGGGATACTGCGGTGGGCGGGGAGCACGGGCTCCCCAAAAAGGGAGAGCACGGCCCCAAAGTGCCTGAAAACCCACCGGGACCGCGTGCCTAAAACACTGAAACTGCGGGGTTTGTCAGTTTATATCTGCTGGCAAATAACGGTACTTTACATAAAAATTGGTTTAAAAAATAACCCCCCGTACCTGCGGTATCATACACAGGATTTTAGAACACAATAAATCCGAATGTAGCGTTATAGGGCTTAGCGCTGGAAATGCAGCTGAGACGAGGCCTGAAGGTGCCCGGAGAGGCAGGGTACGGGAGCAGAACGCCGGGAATGCTCGGAGCATTTTTTCCCAAGCTGTTTTTGTACAAATTGCTTGGGTATGCAGTGTCCGTAAATGTCCCAGGTAAACCTCCTTTGACTAAGCAAACTATTTTCAAAGCGTTATTTGTTGTCGTTTTAAGAGGAAAGTGAGTGGTATTTCTGATAACAAAGTAAGCACTGACATCAGCTGAACTGAAGAAGGTCAGAGATTGGGGATTTTAGTTAGGGATTTGTGTTAGCAAAGTTTTAGGGTTAGGATTTTTGATTCGGGTTATGGTTGTGCTTATGATATGTTCTGTAGTTTTTTATGACCCCATGCTGGTCGGGAATTTTATACTTTCTTTTTAAAAAATTTTAATTAAAAAAAAATCTGTCATTTTATTGCATTTGAACATCCTGTACTTGTACAGACAATGTGTTTTGCCCTTACATACTTTTTGCAGAGTGTTTTAGCAGGAGCAAGAACCTCTTGCCCCTGGCTCAGGTTTCTCCCTGTAAGAGCTTTATTATTTTGCCTTTTATTAAAGCTTTTCTGTTTCCAACACTACCTCAGAAGCCATCCTGCTAATTTTATGCCATTCGAGGTAGCTGAGCTATCTTGGGTGTGATGGGTTCTCTGAGAGCTCATAAGAGCTGGCTGGAGGAAGAAACCCATCATACCCTTGCTTTTGTATTGCATTTCTGTGTGTAAAGTGACTGGGGTTCTGAGGGATTGACATTGTATATTTGTTGTGCAGGCCACGGGTGCTTGGTTATTGGCTTAAAAGTCAAAACAATTAGCTTTCTGAGCAAAAGGAGTTAGATGCACCATTGCTGCCTTCCCCAGGATCCCTGCCCTCGTCAGACACTTCACAGTGAGGTGCTTCCCTCCCTGCCAGGCTCAGGCTTCCAAGCTGCCCCTCCAAAGGGGGATCCCAGGGTGAGGAAAAGGCACCCCATGGACAGGCTCTGCATTGTTGTGCAGACCCAATTCTGTCCTCACCTGCCCTTGGGAATCCAGCTGCTCACTGCTCCAGCATGATGTAGCTTTACTAGGCAGCATCTTGAGTTCTTCTAGAGCCAAAATGACAAAAATAATATTGGAACTTTTCAATTGCTCTAGGTTTCCTCTAAACCCCAACTTTCCTCTTAGTAAGTGGATTGGGAGGAAACATAAAATGCAAAGAGAGGGAAAGGTCATTTTCCAGAACTACCTTTGCCAATGCAGCCCTGTCCCGTGCTTTTCCTTTTCGAGTTTCCTCAGCAGAGGGAGCTCCAGCTTTAAGTTTGCCCCCCTCGCCTTTCCCGAGGATCGCCCAGAGGAGCTGGGAGCGAGTTCCTGCTTCTGGAGCCTTCCCTGGGCAGCAGCGCCCACCCTCCCGCCTCTGCTGGGTGCCTTTCCCTGGAGACCCCCACCCACCCTTCCCTGGGCCCCTTTCCCCGGGCATCCCCCCCCCTTCCCGGGCAGCCCCATCCAGCCCCAGCCCAGGATGTCCCCGGGGTGACCCTGACCTGGCAGCTGTTGACAAAGGTGGGAGCGGGGGGAGCTGAAGTCCTGAAGGATGAAGCTGTTGTCTGAGGCGGAGAATTGCAGGGCTGCATGGCGATCTGCTCCCCCTGCAGACTGGGAGCAGGCAGGGGACAGGAAGGGAACGCTGCTGGAGGTGGCTCCAGGCTCATTCCTGCTTTGCCAAGCCCCTTTTCTGGCACAAAACCTGACCCCTTTCAGTCCCAGCACAAACTGGTACCTGCACACTGCACGGAGGGCTCCAGCACATCCCTTCCCTCCATCCCCTCCCGGTTTGGGATGCTCACTCTCAGCTGCCTCGGCCCCACCTGCAGATGATGTCGGCCCCTCTGTGGCTCCCGATGCTCCTGGTGTGGGATTCCAGCTGGAAACTCCCTGAGTACTTTAGAAAGGCTCACCTTGCCCGGCCCCCTCCCCTGCAAGGCTCCCACCAAGAAACCAACTCTTCATTCAGCACCCTCCCACCCAACACAACCTGAGCCACGAGTGGCTCAGCAACTCACGCACTGGAATTGCACAAAACTACCCCAAAAGCAGCTCTCTGCCCTTGGCAGTGTGGCTGCAGTAGCCTTGGAAACCTTGGCCCTGCTGCTGCCTGCCTGGGTGAGTTTTTCCTGTTTGTTTTGTTCAGTTTAGGGTTTTTTCCTCTCCTTTTTCCAAGCAACTCTCCTGGCAGCACAACAAAGCTCCGTGCCGGCGTGGCCACTGCGATCCCATCAGCTGGGGACACACGTGGGAATGTGCATCCCAAACCCCACAGGGGCCCCGCCACCTGCCAGGGCTCCCAACCTTTTTGCCCCCATTTTACTTATATTTTATTTAATATCATGCACACACACAGACACAGACACACACACAAACAGGTCTTGCAACCTCAGGCAAGGGGACAAACATTGCTGTCAGGTGGAGTCTGTCACCCACGACTGCTTCTCCATCAATATTCCCTGGTCCTAGGCTGCTACACCCTTTTACAGCAGGAAAAAAAAAAGGGGAAAAGCCACACTTGCCACCACCAAACCCCAGCCTGGCCTCACAAGTACTGCAAGATTTCCTCATGCTTCATTTCAAGGCGGAAGCAGCAGATTTTGCAAAGTAGAGTTTCTCTGCAAACCTCTGCCAGTCTGAAGCCATTGGACCTGTCACTTCCTGCCCTTGTCCAAAACAAAAGAAATTGGCAAATGCAATAGGGAATAATAATTAACAAGAGAAACTGTTGGGTGGCTTTGGCCAGCATCTTTGCTTTGGTCCCTTGGACTCCTCTCATAGCTGGTGCTGCCCCAAGCCAGCCCCTGCTGAGCCTGGACGTGGCCCAGGGTGGACATGGCAGCGCTGGACTCGATGACCTTGGAGATCTGTTCCAACCCAACCATTCCAGGATTACATCAATATCAGCATCACACTGGCAAATCCCACCTCAGACTGCCTGAGGGAGCCCGTGGCTGGATGTGCTGATGGACTCTGTGGGTGGTGGCTTTGCTGGAAGCCTGCACAGGGCTGGGATGCCCATGGAGCAGCATCTGCTGATGGATCACAAACCTTGGGAAGGGCCAACCATGCACAAGCACACAACACACACACCCGATGCAAAAAACACACACAAAATGTACAAAACATACACACATAAATGTACAAAACACACATACACAAAGTAAAAAACACACACACAATGTACACAACACACACACCCGATGTAAAAAACACACACAAAATGTACAAAACACACATACACAAAGTAAAAAACACACACACAATGTACACAACACACACACACTCAATGTAAAACACAGACAATGTACAAAACACACACACAACATAAAAAACACACAAAATGTACAAAACATACACACATAATGTAAAAAACACACACACAGAGCGTACACAGCACACACACAACATAAAAAACACACTCACGCAGAGCGTACACAGCACACACACACAGTGTACAAAACACACAAGCAAACACAACATACAAAACATTTATTCAGAGCAGTCTGCCTGCACAGGATGCTCAGCAGTGGTTTCACCCCTGGCACTGGCACACGCAGCTCCCACCCCCCAGAGTCAGCACTTGCCTCGAATGGAGCACGAAACACATCAGGGAAAGCAGCAGAGGCAAGAAATCCATCCTCTCCTGAGGAGCAGGAGGCCCCTTTCAGCTGCTTCCCACCAGCCAGCAGAGACCTTGGCAGGAGTCAGGGCTGGCTCTGGGCCACCAGCCCAGCCCAGCTGGGAGCCAGGGAAAGCCGTGGTGCCTCCCTGGCAATGTGCTTCCCTTTCCTCGGAAAGAAAAGACACCCGAAAAAAGAAACATTTCACTTTTCCACTTGGGAAATCCTTCTGCAGCATCAGTTTGGTGGCTTGGAAAAGTCTTGCTGGAAGAGAGGGGGATAGGAGATGAGAGGATGCACTGGGTGGTCTCATTTCAAACACCACAAGTGACACTTTTGGCATGCCCAGCCTTCATTTACTTCACAGCAGCAGAACTTGTGGTGTTCAGGTTTCTTTCCCCACAGTCTTTTGTAAAACTCAGTCCCAGGGAAAATGAGTTCCATCCTTGTGCCACAGCACGTCCTCGACGTGGCAGCTTCCAGGGAGCCCTGGCTGCTTCTGCACCCACACACCAGCCCCCTCTTGGCACGGTGGGTTTTAGAAAACCCTCAACCAAGCAGCATCACAGATTCCTCTATGTTTTTTTAAGGCATTTGCTGGCCCACTGGCATTTTCTCCTGGATCTCCTCGTACTTGGGCGGAGGGGTGAGAGGCTCTATCGTGATAGGGACGCTGCTGTTGCCCTGCTCCAGGTTTAGCCTGATGTCCTTGAGGTGCAGCTTCTCTGACTTGATCCTGCGCACCTTGAGGGGCTTGAGGCGCTTGCTGAGGCGGGAGCTGTGGCGGCTGGGCGGCCTCTCGGCGCCGGGCTCCGCGCCCGCCGCGCCCGGCGCCGCGCCGCTCTCCTCCAGCCCCGCCAAGGACTCGTAGGAGGGCAGGGACACGCTGAGCCTGTTGCTCCTGTCCGAGTCTCTGGGCTCGGAGTAGCCCGTGTTCATCACCTCCTCGTAGCTGGGCACGTAGTATTGGGAAGAGACGTCTTCATCCTCTTCTTGACTGGAGGGGAAAGAGTTAAGTCTGTCATTTCAGTTTGGTTGTGGGATGGGGATGGAGAGGGAGGAATAAAACCACCCCACCCCACCAGAAATAGTTTTTGCCCTTCTCCATTATATGCCAGTTTCCTTTTGCTTGACAGAATAAACAGTGACCCCACCTAAGTTCAGAGAGATTTTATTTTCGTGTGACTTATGGCCATATTTGATCATCACTTTCTCTGCCCACGGACCCTTTTCTATTGCCCAGCAGTGATTTCTTCTCTCAAGAGAACATCAGCTTTTCTCCTCCACTCACAAAAATCAGTCAAAATACATTAGAAAAGGACATCACCCCTCCGTCTTTGTCATTCTGATGTCTTATGGGTTGGGTACCTTGGGTTTTTCTGCAAAGAGAACTCTATGCCACCATCTGTGCACAGGTACCTGCACACAATATTTGCCATTTCTTTGTCATTCTGAAGTTGACTTTCCAATCAAACACAGAAAATCAGTTTTGATCTGCAGACCCTGACAAGAGCCAGCAGAGCCACTGTGCCCTCCTGTGCCCTTGCACCCCACACTGTCTCAGTGCTGCCCTGCCCCTCTCTGCACAGGGAGCCGTGCTGATGGACAGGCACTTCCCCTGTGCCTGTGTTTGCCCAGACTGTGCCTGCTGAGCAGCAGCCTTTGCTCTGCCCCACGAAGCTCCCTGAGCAAACAGCTGAGCCCTGCAGACTTTCACCGGGTCTAAACTCCAAGGCCAGTCTCCAAGGCTGAGTGGCACCTTGGCTGCACCCAGTGAGGCAGTCAGCCCCTCTCCTGCCCCTCTGGCTGCTCTCCCAGCCTGTGGCAGGAGCCTCCTGCTCTCTGTGTCTCCCAGGACCCTGCCCAGCATTCCCTCAGCTCGCTCCTATGCACCAGCCCAGCCAGGAGTGCCCTGGCCTCAGCTCTGCCCAGACCCCACCTCACACCCCAGCAGGGCTCCCTTCCACTCACAGCTGCATAAATCCAGCTGGAGCCATTCCTTTCCCATCTCCAGGACACACCAAAACCCTAAACTTGGTATGTGCCTCTCCACTTCAGCACGTGCTGCCTTCCTCTCCTTGCTCCAGATCTTCCTGAGTAACAACAACCCTCGGCTTCGCTCCCACGCCCAATCCCCCTCCCTTTGTCCCCAAAACTCCTCCTCACCTGTCCTCCTGCTGCGAGGGCTCTGCGGACACCTGGTGCTGCCCGTGAGCGATGGTCAGCTCCTCGCTCTGCCTCTTCTTGTCGCGGACGTTGAGGCAGAGGGAGAGCAGGAGCAGCAGCAGACCGGCCCCCACCAGCACGTAGGCCACCGAGAAGGTTTTGCTCTTGAGGATGCCGCCGGAGCCGCGGTCGGGCTTGCTGCTGTTGCCGGGCTGGCCGCCGGGTTTGTCGGGGGGGCCGAAGCCGGGCACGAGGTTCCACACGGCCATGATGATGCCGAGCACCAGCATGCCCAGCCCGATGGCCGTCAGCGCGTAGTGGGAGCCGTTGGCCCGGGACTGGGCCATGGCTGCTGCGGGCTGTCCCCACGTCACCGCATGGCTCGGGGCAGGGGGGCTGCAGCCCTGCTGGCATGGGCAGGCAGAGAGCTCTGGGGACAGAGGGGAGGCTGTGGTGAGTGCATGGCAAACAGCAAAGGCTCTGCAGCCACCTCGACACCAGGTTATCCACCTGACACTGGAATCTCAGGCTCTTCAAGCTGACGAGTTCATGTCAGGATAGACCACGAGTAGATCCTTCCTGGATCCTTCCTGGCTGTTCTCATCCCCATCCTTCACTACTTTCTCAGCTGTAATATCCACCAACCTTTGAGAGCAATCAAATCACTGATGTTTGCTAAGGGCTTAGGTTGCCTGTCCTTAGGAGTGTGATAACTGACAGCTTCACAGCACCAAAAGGCGGCCATTAAAATCCCTTCCAAGAGCTGTTGTCGATGCAAACCAACCTGGAAATGCTCAAAAACACACCTCCAGCTGAACAGCTTCTCCTCTCCCCCTGTTTGGGAGGCAGCAGGGCTCCTCATGGCGCTGGCTGCCTGCCCTGGAACGCCTTCCTGCCCAGAGAACAGAAACCAAAACTGCCTCTCTCCCAGCCAGCTCGACCCTGTGCCTTCCCCGGGCTGCAGCTGGCAAGGGCTGCCGGGATGGTGAGCCCTTGGTAGGGCCCCTGGCTCACTCCAGGCCAGCTCTCACCCTCCCTACACTGGTGCTGAGGGCCCCAGCTGCATCTCTCAGGGATGTTGAGCATGAACATTCCCAACGAGCCAGGCCACGGGTGGGAACTCCTCCTCTGACTGTTTTCCAAGTTGCCAGGACCAAATGTGCTAGATTTCCAAAAATACACACACAAAAATAAATCACTCAGGAGATGTGCCTCATCTCCTGCCCATGCCTCCCTGGCCTCGGGTCCCTGACCCAGGGTGGGCAGCTTGCAGAATTGCCCCATCTCCACCCCAGTGAGCCGTGCAGATCTATGGATGTGCCATGTCAGGGATCTCTCTTTCCCTCCCCAGCTTCTTTATGCCAGGTTAGGCTCGAGGTGGCTCTGGTCTGTGCTGGCAGTGGTGCTACATCCATACACACCCCCACACCCTTCAGCTCAACCCTCCGGAGTGCAAAAGCTTCATGTTTGCTTGTTTAGCTTGAGTGCACGCCCAGTTTGCAGGGTCAAGGGCCAGAATAAAACAGCACTCCCAGAAAACAGAGCGGCTGCAGCAGGAAAAGACGCGCACGCAAGCCTGGAGAGGAGGAACCTGCAGAGGAACTTCCCTGTCCACTGCCTGTGCTCCAGCACGGCTGTGGAGACTCCCAGAGGGCTGTCCCAGCCCCTCTGGACACATCCCTGGCCCCACATAGGTCTGGGCAGGGTAAAGTCTTGTCTCCCATGGGTTTCTGGGGTTCTGGGACACCCAGGAGCTGCTGATCCCAGCCCGATGGAGCTGCCACAGGCAGGCAGGGACAAGCCCGTCATTCCCTGCCATGCCAGCTCCAGCACGGGCTGCTGCTCTGTGTGCTCCTGGGGAAGGTATCCACTGAGCCCATTTAATTCCATCCCACTGAGCAGCTGTTGAGGATGTGGAAAGCACTGCACCCAAAATGTCCTCTCCTGGATCCCAAGAGCCATCCTCCCACCCAAGTGTTCCCAAGCCTGCCACTGATGGTACCAGCACTGCCCTCTGCCCTCCCACACAAAGGTTTTGCTCTCTGCTTGAGCCCTGTGGAGTTGTTCCCTCACCTGATGATCCGGCTGAGCTCCCATCCTTGCCACAAACACATCAGCCAGCCAAGACTTCACTCGAGAACAGCTCTGATGGCCTTGGGGCAGGAAAATCGCACTGCACCCACGGTGGGCACAGAATACACACATGGCTGTCACATCTACCCGTGGTGTCTAAATCTCTGCTCAGTCTCTGTGCCTCCCCTCAGGCACCTCAGTCCTGGAAGTGGGCAGGATTTCAGCTCCTACGTCACCCCTGTGCCTGCAAGTTTTTTACAGATCCATTGCAGTGCTACCCATCAGCCCAGCAATCAGATTAAAGCAGGAGACTTGCTATTCCAGTCTATTTCTCCATTGAATTAGCTGCTGTCCTGGCTACCCAGAGCTGTTCCTATCGCTGCTCCAACAGTGCCCTGACGTCAGTATCCCTGGAAGGGAGCTGCTCTGTCTGCCTCAGCTCCAGCACTGTCTGGAAGCTCATCCCAGCATCACAGAATGGCTTGGGTTGGAGGGACCTTAAAGCTCATCTCATCCCACCCCCTGCCATGGGCAGGGCCAACTTCCACTATGCCAGGTTGCTCCAAGCTCCATCCAATCTGGCCTTGAATACTCCTAGGGATGGGGCAGCCACAGCTTCTCTGGTCAACCTATGCCAGGGCCTCCCCACCCTCACAGGGAAGAATTTCCTCCTAAATATCCAGTCCAAATTATCCCTCTTTTACTTTAAAATCATCTCCCCTTGTCCTTTCACAACAGGCCCTATGAAAAGTTTCTCCCCACATCAGGCTGGTGAGCGATGCCTGAGTGCTTCAGCCCCTAGACCCCCCCTTCCCCTCTGCCTGCAAACCAGACCCCTCCATCCCTTTCCCTGCCTGCCCGTGCCCTGCCCTGGCAATGATTTACACCAGGATCTCCAAACCATTAAACTCCAGCTCGGCTGCAAAGCCTGAGGGCACCCACAGCTCCTGCGGGCTTCCCGCACCTCTGCCCTACTCCCGCAGCTGCCGGAGCCTTCGGGATGCTCTTGCGACATCGCCAAGTGTTAACTGGCCACGGGAAGGTTCGTTAATTGGCCACGGGAAGGTTCGTTAATTGGCCACGGGAAGGTTCGGGATAAGCCCGTTCTAGCACCACCCGCCCTGAAGGCTGGAACAGCAGCAGGAGCAGCTTGCCTCGGTGGGACACAGACCCCCGGCAGGGTCAGCCCGGACCGTGTTCCACATCCCGGTGTCCCGGGAGGAGCTGTGGCCCGGCTGGGTGACTCACCAGGAAGGCCGACACCCCCTGCTGCCCTCGCAGCACCCACGCTCCTCTGCCCTCCACAACCTTTGGATTTTTCCCGGCTCTGACATCACCTTCCCACTCACGCTCCAGCAGCAACACCTTTGTCACAGGTCACGGGAGATGAGTCTGCAGTCCAGGGAACAGGTCGAGCCCCGGTGCAGTCACCAGACACGGGATGAGCTCCAGGGCTTCCTCGCTGCCACAGAGCGACACAGCCCCTCAGAGCTGCCTCCAAAAAACAGGCTGTGACTCCATCACCAGTCACACAGCTCATTTTCTGGAAAATTCTGGGGGAAAATAAACCCGTTCTCCAACCATCCGAAGATTCCAGTGTCCTCTCTGTTAGATTACAAGGCTTTACCTTCATCTTCCTGCTTCCACCCAGAGAACCTGCTCATTAACCTCTTTCCCTGCTAATTGCTGGCCTGGCACATCCTCAGGAGCTTCTTTCTGCATCGACCACAGCCTCGTGTGTTACACAGGGGTTCAACCCACCAGGAGCACAAAAATCCATGTGGGGGCTAAAAAGCAACAGGTCAGGATTTGGGAGGTATTTTCATACAGCCCCAGAATGTTTGGGTTTGGAAGGGATCTTAAAGACCACCTACTTCCAACTCCCTGCCATGGTTTCTCTTGCTGTCCCTTCTTGCTGCCCTGTCACCCCTGCCCCAGGAACAGGGATGTTTCTGGCCAGCTGCAGCCCAGGAGATGCAGGGAACAGCCAGAGAAATCCAGCTGAGTCACAAAAAGAAGCACTGCTGCTGATTTGGCCAATTTCTGATCTTTTGGACAAATTCCAGCCCATTTTAGAGCATCTCACCAGGGAGTAGGAATCTGGAGAGACAGTCCCATGCAGACTATCAGGGCTTTTCCACATTTTGCTTTTACTTCCTGCCTAGAGCACAAAAGAACACATCCACATCTCCACTGCCCACAGCATTCCCTACAGACATTTAAGAGGTATTTTACGCTCTTTCTTAAATTTAATTTTTAACAACCCCTCCTCAGCTGTACCTTGTAGGCAGCACTGGGGGAACAGTGATGTTTTCCTCAAACCTTGCCCAAGGCTCTCCCACTCCAGAGGGAGCCCAGCTCTGCCACTTCCTGCAAAACAAGGGCAAAGCCCATTCCCAGGCTCAGATTGCTGCAATCCACCTGGCTGGCCGTGGCCTCCACAGCAGAACAACAGTGACAGGGCCCACAAAACACCCCATTTCCACAGAGCCGTGCATTTGCACTCCCAAGCCATGTGCACCTGCCTCTGCCGTGTCCCTGGGAATTCTGGGCACAGCTGCCAAGGCTTTCTGAAGCGGCACAGATCACACAGGGCACGGTAGCAAACTCCAGAGCTGTAACCATGACTGTGCAGCAGCCACCACCTTGGCCTTTGCCACTGAGATACAAGAAACTGCCTCCCAGACTCCTTCTCCCCATAATTCCATTACACCCATGCAAGCGGCGCCTGCTGCAGCGGCAATGGACAGGACAGGGACAGAGAGTCCTTTCACGTTTGTGTTCAGGACATTGCCGTTTGTTCCTGGGGACAATGCTGCCGTGGCCACCGAGGCCACGCTGGCAGCGGCTCTGGGCAGGTCGGCGAGCCCCGGCTGTGTCCTGGTTGCTGTGTAAACACTGTCCTGGGGCTTTTCCTGCTCCAGCCTCTGGGACTGCCACTGGGACCAACCACTACACCAATGCTTTCAGGCCCAGCTCTGCTAAACCAGGGAGCGGCGCTTGGGGTGATGCCTCAGGTTTTTAGCTTTTCATGTATTTGTAGCTTTGTAGATTGTTAATGCATGGCTGTAACTCCCAGTACTTTTCCTATCTTTCTTCTCTACATTTAGGAACAATAAGCTAACCTTAGAAACAGTTTCCCAAAATACTGCTTAGTTTTATTCCAAGAAGAGAACCGACTACAAGGATGTCCTGTTTTCCAAACAGAATCTGGACCAGACAAAACAAAACTGGAGCAAAAAAAAGCCTCTGGTCTGCTTCCAGTGTTGCAGAACCCTGGAATTATTACCTAATCAACTAACCTTTTAATTGGAGAGTATATGATAAGTATACTAATCAACTAACCTTATAAAAATTGTAGAATTACTATACAATGAGTGAATTTTGCCACATTGTGTACCTGAAAGCTTTCAAGTAAAGGTTTGCCTTTACATCCACTCTAATGTTGTTGGGAAGATCTATTCTATTTTCCAGGTAACAGGGGTGCTCATCTCTCTCCAGGGAGCTGAATTCCTTGTGCACCTAGGCCAGGGAAGGCATGCCTGCCTGGGAAAATCCCAGCACTTTGACTCCTTCTCCTTCCTGCTTTCCTTTGGACATTGCACCTCTGAGTTTGGATTTTTTTTTTTCCATTAATTCTAATCTGCTGTTTCAGTTGAGATAAAGCCATTCCTCCACAGCCTCCCCCTGGTTTTTGTTCTGGGACCTCTCCCCAGATAACACCCAGACAAACACGCCCTCCTCCAGAGCCTTCCAGCACGGGGAGACATTATCCATCTGCCCTTCTGATGTCCTCCGAAGCAGAACCCAGCATTCCTGCTTCCTCCCAGCCCCTCTGGAGTGCTTCAAGCACCTCCTGTCCCACCCTGGAGCCCCTGGATGATTATCTCCCCTTCCTGCAAGCCACTAACCTGGCACTTCTCACTGGCTGTCATCGGCCTCGCCAGCACCTCCTTCCTCATCCTCTGCCTGGATTTCCAGCAACGCCTTTTTCCCCAACACAGCATCACCTCTCCAACGAGGATGACCACAAAGAAAACCCACCATGGACAGCCAAGGAGGCCCCAGGGCAGGAAGGGAGTGAGGCTGATGCTGGAGGGCACAGAGCCAGCCTGGGGACACGGAGCAGGCTGGGCAGCCAAGCGACACGGAGCAGCAGGCTCAGAGCAGCCGTGTTCCGCAAGGTGGGCACAGGTATTTTGATATGGATGGAGGTTTGCTGGGGATTATATTGCTCCACGCCACCTGCACTGCTCACACAGGATATTTAGCTGCTTCTACAGAGCCCTGACATCAGTTTCTGCCTATGAAATACACTGGGAATGAGGAAAGCGGCATGGAGAGGCAGACACATACCTGGGCTGCTGGAGGATCCCTCCTCACAGGCTCCAGGCAGGAGAGCAGGCAGACAGCCCTGCCCAGCCCTGGCCCTCTGGCATCTCCTGCAGCACCGCCACGGCGCCAGGCACTGGCACTCAGCTCCCTCCAGGGCACCGATGGCCAAACATTCCTCCTTCCCCAGCCACTTCCCTTCCCAAGGGTTTTCCAACCCGTGTAATTACACAGCTAAAATCAAAGGTGTTTCACATACTTCCGAGTCACCCGAGTCCGGGGCTGGGCTCACCAGCCCCACACCCACATGTTCTTCGCTGACACCTGGGAGGTTTCCCTTTCTGCTCTCATGCCAGGACATTTGCAGGATGCTTGGATTTGTTGTAGAGGGATGTGCTGTGCCAGCATCCCATCTGGCAGTGGCCTAGGTCTGCTCCAGAGAGGCTTGAAGGAGCTGGAAAGCCAAGACCACACTTCCAGGTGCAGCTTCACCTCAGCAGGCTCCATCCACCACACAGAGCCAAGGTAACCCATCTCACACGGGACATGCTCATGGAGCTGCTGGTTTCTGCTCACACATCCACACTTCCCAACAAAGACAGCTTCCCAACACAGACCCCCCAACACTGCTCAGTGATGCTCGTCCCTATCAAAAATCCAAAAATCAAACACCAACATCAGCAGACAACCACTCTGGGAACATGCTTGGGAGACACCCGCGGCTTTGCCGAGCCCCTCAAAGCTCCAGGCCATTCCTTCACCGGCGGGAATGTCACCACAGGAAGGGCCGAGCCCCCAGAGACCCGGGCTGGGCTCACGGAGCGCCCGGCCCCGAGCTGGCCGGCAGCAATGCCCTTCTCCTTGGCTCTGTTTGCTCTGCCGGCAGCCCGGCTCGCACACCGCTCCGGCACCTCCCGGGGCTCGCGATCCGCGCACTCCTGCCACCCCTGGGCACCGGCAGCGGCCCGGGCTCGGCGGCGGGGATGCCCCGGCGCCCTCCCTGCTGCTGGTCCTCCCCAAAGTGCCAGCTGATCGTTCCAGGAACCACGGCCACTCTTTCCCCACGCTGTGCACGGCCAGCCCGGGGCCTGCCAGGGCTGGCGAGGCGCCCCAAGCCCGCGTGTCCCCAGGGGTGACCCCAAGGCCCCGCCGCTGCAACCGCCTCATGCGCGACCCCGCTGTGGGGCTGTTTGCCCTGCTCCGAGGGGTGTCTGCTCCTGCTTTGAGGGGTGTCTGCTCCTGCTTTGAGGGGTGTCTGCTCCTGCTTTGAGGGTGTTTGCCCTGCTCTGAGGGGTGTTTGCCCTGCTCTGAGGGGTGTCTGCTCCTGCTTTGATGGGTGTTTGCCCTGCTCTGAGGGCTGCTTGCCCTGCTTTGAAGGTGTTTGCCCTGCTTTGAGGGGTGTCTGCTCCTGCTTTGAGGGCTGTTTGCCCAGCTTTGAGGGCTGTTTCTCCTGCTTTGAGGGGGGCTTGCCCTGCTTTGGGGGTATTTGCCCTGCTCTGAGGGGTGTTTGCCCTGCTTTGGGGGTGCTTCCCCTGCTTTGAGGGCTGTTTCCCCTGCCTTGATGGGTGTTTCTCCTACTTTGAGGGGTGTTTGCCCTACTCTGAGGGGTGTCTGCTCCTGCTTTGAGGGGTGTTTGCCCTACTTTGGGGGTGTTTGCCCTGCTTTGAGGGGTGCTCGCTCCTGCTCTGGGGGCGCTTCCCCTGCCTTGAGGGCTGTTTCTCCTGCTTTGAGGGTGTCTGCTCCTACTTTGAGGGCTGCTTCCCCCGCTCTGCAGTGTTTTCCCAAGCTTTGGAAGTGACTCCAGCTCAGCCCGAGCCCGACCCAGCTCTGACTCCCCTCCGCTCCCGTTCCCGTTCCCGGTCCCGGTCCCGTTCCCGGCGGGACTGAGCCCAGCCCGCCCCGCTCCCGCTTCCCAGAGCTCCGAAGGGTTCCGGGGCAGAGGGTCCCGTCCCCTCGCGGCTCCCCGACCCCACGTACCTCCGGCGGCGGCTGCGGCGGGCGCTGCGGGGCCGCTCCGCCCTCCCGGCCCGGCCTCCGGGGCGGCGCTTCCCGGGACCGGCCTCGCCGCTCCCGCCCGGGCACCGGCTCCGTTCCGGGAAACTGTGCAGGGGCGGAACTGGGACTGCCAAATACAGCCGGGAGGCTCCCCACAAACCACCAGGGAGTCCCCCGAAACCAGGCGTGGGTCACACTGGGGATGCCGGTCGCGTCACCCCCTGCGAGCACTGATGCATCACAGCCCCGCATCTCTGCTTTTATAGGATCCCGGAATGGTTTGGGGTGCAAAGGACCTTAAAGCCCATCCCATTCCACCCTGCCGTGGGCAGACACACCTTCCACTATCCCAGCTTGCTCCACAGCTCATCCAACCTGGCCTGGGACACTTTTGGGGATGGGGCAGCCGCAGCTTCTCTGGGCAGCCTGAGCTAGGGCCTCACCATCCTCCCATGGAAAAATCTATTCCCAACACCTAATGAAAGGTTTAGTTTTTATTCTACAGTTTAAAACCCATATTGCAATGGACCTACTTTGTAAAACTCTTGTAGCAACGAGCGGAGCTTTTACTCAACCAGTTCCCGTTTTGAAGATCTCCAATCACTCAGGCTCACTGCATTCAACAGAGCAAAGCCAAGCTGGCACTCACAGGGAGCCTGGAAAGCTCTTTTTTATCTGCTGCCCTCTATAAACATCCCCAGTTAACCACTCGTGTGCTGGGAAGAGCTGTTTCAGGCACATCTCTCACCATGGCTCCTGGCCACATGCCTTGGCCTCATAGCCAGACATTCCCATGGTTTCCAGACTGAACCACGGGGAGCAGAGCTGGGCTCTGGCAAACTTCAGTGCAACTAACGCCGTGTCCAGTGTCACCTCTCCTTGGCTGCCATCCCAGCAGCAATGAGGATGTGTTTTTCCAGGCTCTTCTCACACCCAGCTGTAATAATAAACACCACCAAGGACTCAAATCCTGTTAGAGATGATACTCAGGGTGGGTTTTTTCCCTGATCCAAGCAAAAAAACTGCATCACTATGCTGCTGGACCAGCCACTGCAGTTTTTCCTGTCCCTTAAGCCCTGCGAGACCTTGTGGAGGCAAAAGCCATCGTGAACCAAATGAAACTTGTCACATCACCCGGCGTGACTCAGCTCCACAGTCCTGCCTTGGGGCCACTGGTGTTCAGGATGCTTGGGAAAGCCCCGCTGCTTCCCTGCATCTCTCCCTACGAGCACAGTCCCACACGGAGCTGATGGTATTTTCCACTGACTCACCTGCCTGTGATATCTTCCCCTTCTAATCAAAGGGCAATTCCAAGCGCTGTGCTATAAAAAGAAATAATTATTAAACATAACTGCATTTTCCCCCCCTTGGATGGATTGTTTTGCATTTTTCCGCTTGGCTCCCGGCTCAGGCAAATTCGCCGCACTTCAGGTGGATTTCCCCCTCTCTTTCTCCACCTTCCTGTGTCAAACAGAAACCTGACATCCCAAGCAGCTCTGGCAGTCAGGAGACATAACAGGGAATTGTTTTCTCTGTAAGAAAGGGGGGGAACATGGACTTCACACAGTGGCTGTCACCGATCCGGCGCAGGGAGAGCCAGGTCACCCCCCTGCAGAGGCCCTGGGGACCGTGAGCACAGAGGGGACATTCATAACGTGGTTCCTCGGGTTCTCACTCCACAAAGCTGAATATTGGCCAGGAATGGGCTCTTCAGTGGCAGTGCAGCAGGATCAAGGAAGGGGGGGCTTGCCTTCACCCTGACGGCTGCTAAAGCACCTGCCTCTCCCTGACACACACTCTCTGTGGGATAATGTATTCACATCCATCCCTTGGGCTCCTTTTCCTTTCCAGCTCTGCAGCCATCCCAGTGTGGGGATTTATCTCTGGCAGCTCAAATCTTCCCCCAGCAAAAACTCCCTGTCCAGTCCCAGGCTGGGACTTCTCCAGGGTGATTATCCAGCCAGGTATGCAGGGTACAGAGCACAGGAATGCCAAGGAGGAAACTGGAGCCCCACCAGAGCCACCAGCAGGCAACAAAAAGGGCCTTTCAGGGGAGCATCTGATCCTCTGCTACGTGCAGAGGTGCCAGGGGCTCACATTATCCTGCCTTAGAAATTTCTCACTGGCACATTTCCCTGATCTTTCCTGCTCAAAGGTGCCAGTATGTATGTTAAAGCCACCAGTGGAAGCCTGGAGATGTTCCTGGATTCCTCCAAAACTTCCCAACAGTGAGGGAAAAGCACTGCTCCAACTGACCCCTGGATACCCACAGCTGGATTGTTTGTCCTGGAAGAGGTGAAGCCCATCCCTGGGAGTCAGGGCAGTAGAGCCACCAGAGTGCACATTTCTATTATACTATATTATATTATATATAATATTATTGTATTGTAAAGCCATGGAGTGATGGGACAAGGTGAAATGGGATCACACTGGCAGAATGTAGATCTAGATTAGATAAGAGGAAGAAATTTTTCCCTGTGAGGGTGGGGAAGCCCTGGCACAGGTTACTCAGAGAAGCTTTGGCTGCCCCATTCCTAGAAGTGTTCAAGGCCAGGCTGGATGGGGTTTAGAGCAACCTGGGATAGTGGAAGGTGTCCCTGCCCATGGCAGGGGGTGGGATGAGATTGTCTCTAAGGTCTCTTCCTATCCAAACCATTCTGTGATTTGATGATTAATAAAGCTAACAGCTAATAAACACCAGAAATATAATATACATCTATGTATTAATATAATGCATAATGGAACATGGCAGGCCCCAGCTCTGCCCCCAGGATGAAAGCCCATCCCAGCCTGCTCCATGATGGGCTTCCTCAGATCCCATGCCCAGCCCACACACGCTGCTCTATACTTTTCTCTCTCTTCCTCATGCCTTAGTTCCTGCACCCCAATTTAGAGTCCCTGCCGGGCTGCAGGCTGGGAACCTGCCACACAAGTGGGAAAAAAGAGGAAAAGCAGCTACTTGGGAGGCATTTCCGCACGCTCCTGGTGGGAGGGTGCGACCTGCCAGCATCTCCTGCCGGGGTGAGGAGCTGGTGTCCCCAGGGCTGCCAGGACCTGGCAGTTCCAGTCCAACCAGTCCAACCACCGTGCCAGGTCACCGTCTGCTGCTTCAAGCACTCGCACGTCTGCAGCTGGAAAACTGTGCAAATAAAGCCACTGTGTTCACAGTAATAATAGTAAATAACCTGCTGCTTCCCCCTGGAGCTGCTCCAGGGCTGCTGCATCCCCTTGGTGAAGCTTTGGCTTGGGCCAGACCTGGGAATAGGAGAGCCAGGGCTGGAGAACACAGCTGGAGGAGAAGGGCTGCAGTGGCATTGTGCAGCTGGTTATTTAAAAGAGTTGGGCAGAGATTAATGTAGCTGTTCAAAATTAGGAGCAGATGGTGAATGAAGGCTGTTGTCGTCCAAGAATAGGAAAATGTTGGGAGATCAATCACTAGCAGTGATAAAACTCCAAGGAAACCTTACCTGGATAGGAGGCCTTGTCACAGCTCCAGTGTCCTGGCTGGATGGAGCGGAGCCACTCGTGCTCTGCTGGTGCTCGTGGCTGTGCCAGGTCGGGGCAGTGGGAAGGTAAGACAGGGGCTGACGTGGGGACAGCTGCAGGGAGAGGGGCAGAGCAGGATGTCCCCAAGGATGTCTGCAGTGAGGGACTCTGTCAGGCACTGCTGCATCCCCTGGGCTCAACGACACTTCCAGTGCTGGCAGTAAAAGCAGCACCAGGGGAAAACTCCTCCAGGGAAAACACTGAAAACAGGTGAATTAATGACAGGCACATTCCCAGATTTTCAGCAGTCCTGAGCAATAAACCAGCAGCCTCAGCAGCAGCCCATGACACCAGTTTTTGGGGAGATCACCATCACCCACACTCTGTGACCCACCCTATGCCAAACCTCACCAACCTCCTGATGATTTATTCAGCTGTTTGGGGTACATCAGTTTAGCTCTTTATCATCAAAAATCCAGCCCGGGAAGATCACCAACTAAAGCTATGGGGTGAGTCAGTGCAGAGGCAGGAAATGTCCCAGACTCACCCCTGTTTCCCTGCTGTGACCTCGCAACCCCATTCCTGATCCCCAGGTTAGCAGTGCAAGGCTGTGGCATGGCAGGTAAACCCAGATTCTGTGGTAATGTCAGCCAGAGATGATGCCAGCGCTGGCACAGCTGGGTTACACACCAGGAGGTGCTGGGGACAGCACCCTCTGTGGGGTACCCGGCCATCCCACACAGCACCCCATGTCCCCACGTGGCGTTGGGATATTTGCCTTTCTCAGTCTAAAGTCCTCGCCGGGGAAAAGGCTCTTGTGAGCGCCTGCACAACGACGGTGCAAAGTGCACCAAGGCGGGCGGTCCCACCTAAAACAAACACAACTCGGGGACTGCTCACACGGTGGCAGCAGCGCAGCACGGTGCTGCACATCCAGCACGGCGGGCATGCAGCAGGGACGAGGCTGAGGGGGGATGCAGCAGGGATGAGGGTGAGGTGGGATGCAGCAGGGATGAGGGTGAGGTGGGATGCAGCAGAGGTGAGGCTGATGGGGGATGCAGCAGGGATGAGGATGATGTGGCATGCAGAAGGGGTGAGGTGGGATGCAGCGGGGATGAGGCTGAGGGGAGATACAACAGGGATGAGGCTCCTGCAGCCTCCATTGCCAGAGAAGAGCAGGTCAGGGGGACAAAGCCACCAAGAAGCCCCCCCTCAGCCCAGGACATCACAGACACAGGGAGTGTGGCCCCTCTGCTTGCCGTGGCTCGGGTGCAGGAGGTGACCCGTGTCACCCTGCACAGGGTCTGCCACAGCTCCCACGGCACAGGCAGAAGCCTTACCAGAACTGGTGTGGCACTCTGACACATTCCTGGCTCCCAAAGCTTTTAAAACCACAGATGGGATGAATGAGCACCCACACTCCATCCCATGCACAAAGGACAACACCAAATCTCAGCAGGGAACCGCTGCAAGTGCAGCAAATCCCACCGTGGTGTGTGTGCCCGGCTCATGTTTGCCATGCTCAGCAGTTGCCCTTTCATGCCACCTGTAGCTCCCATTAACGCTGGATTCCAGCTGCAGGTAACAGAGTAGGAGAGCCAGCTGGCTTCTCCTGAGTTTTTCTTATTTTGCTTTGTTCCAGCTCTCCCCATTTCAGACTATGGTGGCTCTTACCTGCTCAGCAGCTGCTCCCAAACTCAGGAGGCTGTTTCTGTCAGAAAAAAAAAGGAGAAAAAAGAAAAGGTGTATCCCTTGATCTGTACCCTGATTATGGGCTTGAAACTCATTGCAGATTGCCTTTTGCTCCTGCCTGCAAAAATTGACACCAAAATGGTATCAGCCCCACTGGAAGTGCTGGCACACCCCTACAGGTGACCAATGTCATCTGAATAATAGTAACAATAATAATTTCTCAACCTCTACAATGATAACAGTTGGAGCATAAGACTTTCTGATTTCTCCATTTTCTGCTGTTCTTAGTCCTTATCATATTTTCCGTATATGAGTAGGACATCTCCTGGCTGTCCTTACTTACCTTAAACCCTTGAAATCCCCATTTCATAGGGATGCAGACAGTCCCAGCCTCCTCCCAGCATTCTTGCATCCAGGAGCAGGCATCTGGCTGGGAGCTGGTCCTGGGAACAGCTGGCCCAGCCTTTTCCTGAATCCTCCCATCACCCCGGAGCCCCCAAAATTCCCGTGGTGCTCAGGGCGTCCCGCACCCTGGTGCCACAACAGAGATGCCAACACCCATCCAGGCTCTCCAATTAAACCACATGGAGTTCATCCATACTTTAAAATAAGCTTTATTTAGATCTTTTATAATTTTATATTTGCATCCATGCCTTCAAGGATTCTCCCCCGCTCACAGGGGGAAAAGTTAAATCTAATGTTACCCATAATTCATATGCTATTTAGCAAAGTTCTCTTTTAAATAAATCATCCTCTTAGTAATTTTTAGAATTACTTCCTAATTTACAAAAAAGCTGAAATGCAAAGGAAACTACTCGATAACAAGGAGATCGCTCATCTGTTCTGGTGGTTTAGAGTTTAAATTATAAAAACGCAAGGAGAACAAAGAAAAAAAGAACAAAACAGAACCCAAAAAACCAACAAAATATATAAAAATGCTTCTCTGCAGAGAAAAGATGCCATGGGGCAAAGCCTGCCCTACCACCCCAGGAGAGCCTGGGGGGGCTGGTCCCTCTGTCACCCCCTCCATGGCCTCTCTGCATCATCCCTTGGAATGGATATACAGCGTGAGGGCATCGGTTTAGTTTGATGATTTAAGACAAAATACCCTTTTTTTTTCAACCAGGGCGCACGTATCGGAATTAAGAAAAATAATACACTATTATAGTTCATTAAATAAATCTTAATACATTTTTTTTTAAGAGCTTAAAATTATACTGTAAGCATTAAAGCATAAGGTACTTATCTTGGCATAAGCAGAGCGCGGCACGTGTTAGTGGAGAGGGGAAGCGGCTGCCGCACCGGGGGGTGGTTTGGGGGCATTTCCAAGGAATTTGGAAAAACAAGCTCCACCTGTGCTTCCAAATCACCCCAGAGCCAGAAAAACCTCCCTAGTGGGGACTCGTACCGATTTCCCCAGCCCCCTCTGACGGCAGTAACACCCCAAACTGGAGCGGGGTGGCCGGCCCTATCTGAGCAACATCTTGGGATATGGGATATCTCGGGATATCACCTTTCTCCCAGCTCGTGCCGGATCCCCCTAAATTTTACTTGAAGCAAAGGGTGAGCACCCCCCAAAAGCAGGGAAAAACAGAGGGCAAAGCTCCCACCAGCTTGCCCCCATCTGATCTCCCGGCATGTGTTTAGGTTTGCGTTTTCCAAGGCGTTAAGTGCTCCTGGGGCAGCTGAGGGAGCCCGGGCTGGGGGGTCCACAGCCCCAATCTCCCCCAACAGCAACTTCCCAGGACAGTACAGTACAAACACCCCCTTCCTCCTCCCCGCCCCATCCCAACCGACGTGGAAAAATATAAAAATCCCAAAACTTCTGCAATAATTTAGTTAGAATAGCTCCTCTGGGTTTGTGCAAATAAATTAAAACAACTAAAAAGGAACGTTAAAACACTTATTTCCAGACTGGCAGGCGTAACAACCAGCCCGGGTCGCCTCCGCGGGGCTCGGCCAGGAAGACATCACAGCGAAGGAGATTTTCTTGTTGTTGTTTTTGTGTGTTTTCTCTCTAAGATCCCTCAGCTGGGCAGGTCCTTTGTCCCCAGGCGAGGACATCCCGCAGGCTGGGCTCCGGAAAACAGCGGTTTCGGACAAGAGACATCACAAGCACAAAGTGCACAATATTTCTCGTATTTACAGAGACACAGCAGTCCTTCAAGTTTCAAGTTTTGTCAAAAGAACAAGAAAAAAGAACAAAAAAACCCTCCCAAAACAAGGAAAAAAACCCAACCCAAACGGACAAACTGAAGCGACAACAAAGGAGTTACCGGGATGGAAAAACAAACAAACAAAAAAAAAAAAAAGGAAAAAAGGGAAAAAAACTGAAGTTACGACACAGCTGCATCGCTCCCAAGACAACAGGTAACACGTCCACAGGTGGGACGGGGCTGTGGGACTGGGGATATGTACATGTGCAGGGCCAGGAGGGGCTCTGGCGCCGTCACCAGTCCGCGTCCTCCTCGATGTAGTAGTCGGGGGCCGTCCCGTCGAAGAGACCGGGATCGAGGGACTTGCGCTGCTTCCCCCGGGCAAACACCCTGGAGATGGAGCCAAAGCCCATCTTCTCTTTCTTCTTTTTCCGTTTTTGGTCTTCCAGGTCTTCTAGAGACTGCGGGACAAGACACAAGTTTAGGCATCCAGCGTTTCCTTTACCATTTCTGCCCTTCATTCGCATCAAGGATGATGGACAATGTGGTCCCAGTTGCAAAAAATATTTGCAGCCAGATCCCACAAAATATTTTCATCCAGGTCCAAAGTAATGTTAAGATCCTGGACCAAAATACAATAACATTCCTGAAACCTGTGTGGTGGAATTTGGAGTGAAATTGGGCCCCCTCTCCACAGCTCTGGGATTTTGGCCTCTTTAATTCAACTGGATCAGGATTTCAGCTCTGGGAATAAATAGTCAGAGCATCTGTCTGGATTGCAAAAATATCCCAGTGTTTTAGGGCCAAATACAGAAGAATAACATGCTTTGGCTGGACCTTATAAAAATCAACACTGTGATATAGGCCTGAGCTCAGTGAATGCTTATAGCATTACCTGCACTTTGGGGCAAATTATGGGAATAGGAGACATCCCAGACTTACAATTCAGGATGCCTTCCATTTATCCCAAATTGGTGCCTCTGACCCACCATCCCAAGGAAGCACAAGAAGGGGTCTCACAAGCAGGATTTGAGAGGAATTGTGCCCTACCTGTACGATTGGATTGTGCAAGTTCTTCTGTACCGGTCCAGGACTGTCCCCCTATGGCACAAGGAGATGGATCCATTGAATCAACGCTGATACAGCCCAAGAGCCTCCACCCCCAGGGAAAAAAGGCAGCGTTTGTGCAGCTGAACTGCAGTGGGGCTGGGATAAACCCCAGCCAGCAGCTTTCCAGGTCAGCCAAGCCCCAACTGCAAACCCAACGCTGTTTTGGGAAGCAGAGGCCCCACAGAACGCCCAGAGCCCATCTCCCCAGGGCAGGGCATCACAGCCCCAGCAGGCAGCCCTTACGTTGCAGAGCGAGTGCGTTCGGTGCCGCGGTGAGTTGATGTCACTCGGAGTGGACGATCGGTCACCTTCGGCCGCGGAGGCGTCGGAGATGATGGACGGCTGCCGGGAATGGCAGGGGCTCACTCTGACAGCTGCAAGGCAGGGGGAAAACAGGGAATTAACACCAGCAAAGCCTCTGACGCGCTTCCAAACCCACACCCGGGGAGGAGTGGTTTTCACCATCTTTCCTCCCCAGGAGGGGTTTGGCACTGAGGACTTGCCACCCGTGGGGTGCCCACCTTGCCGGTCTGCCGAGTGCTGGGGGTGTGAGTGGTAGAGGGTCTGCTGGCTCTGCCGGATGGCGGCGGTCAGCGGGAGGTCAGCCTGCATCACCCACTCCTGGTTGCCATTCAGCACCGTCTCGCCCGGCATGGCCAAGGAATGGCGCTTGGGCACGTCCTTGGTCAGCGTAGCCAGGGACTGCTTGGCCTGGGGAAGGACATTGAGGTGGTGGTGGAGTGGGAAAACCATGTGAACATCTCCCAGGAGCAGCAGAACAAGCAGCAACACACTGCACACCAAACCCACCCTCCCTTGGGCGAGCAAAGATCCCAACTGTGCCACTCCCCATGCCAGGGATATGAATTTTTGAGTGATGCTCCCCCTGCCAAGGATATCAAGCTCCTTTTGAGAGATGGAATATTTTCCTCTCGGTATTGCAGAAGTGCAACCACTGCAGCAAGCACTGAGATCTGTATAAATTCTCCAGCTCACCATGGCCAGCTCGGCCTCCAGCTCCTTCATGCGGTTGTCCTTCAGGTCGAGCTGGGAGCGGAGGGCGCTGGCGTGGTCCGTGGCTTCCTTGGCCTGCCGCCGCAGCTCCCACTTCTCCCGCTCCAGGAGATCCTTCTCCTTTGCCAGGGCTTTCACCGCGTCCTCGCTCTCCTGCTGGGACAGGGGTGGCCATCAGGAAGGGAAAATCCGTGTCCTACTGAAAACCCCTCTGTCACAAGCCCCTTGGGGACCACCAAACCATGAGCAGTATCTTAGGTGTCACAAGAGCCCTGTGCTGGCAGGAATGTAAACCCTTTTTTTGGGGAGATCTGGAATGCAGCCAGTCCCCAAAAAGAAACGCTCACTGTGCACCTGGTTAAAATTACATCAAATGCCCCAGGTCTGGCTCTTTCCTTCATTTAACCTTAAACTGCTGTGGTCCATCCCAACTCCAGCAAGAGTCCAGCTGGGGCTTTAGCGGGATTTTGCCGGGTTACAAACCAGGTTTCACCCTCAGCCTGCTGCCAGCCCTCTGTGCCACGAGGGTTCTGGGCTGTGCACTCACTTTCCTGTGCTGCTCGTAGTTGCGGATGAAGTCGCGGAGCTGCTCCTCCCGGCTCTCCAGCGTGGCGTACAGCTGCTGCATCTGGCTCACCAGGTCTGTCTTCTCCCCCTTCAAGCGCTTGCGGTCGGCTTTCATGGCTGTGGGAGAGAGGATCACTCCAGAATGGCAGCCCCTTGACTCCATCTCTTTTATTTTTCAAGGAAAAAGCACCAAAATGAAAATTCTGGGGGCTGGGCTGGGAGAAGATTCCCAATTCACCCCCATTGCTGCACCCCTCAAAATGCTCATCGTGTCACCACTGTGGCTCCTCATCACTGCCCATCCTCCAAGAGGCAGCTCAGACCTTGGAAAAGGAGGTTTGGGAGCAAAACTGCAGCCTCAGCCTCAGGGCCTGGCGCAGGAAAACCTGCTGCTCTCTTTCCAGGATAAATAAACCACAACCAGTTTATTTTTAGCAGTGAGGCAGATTCCAGAGCACTCCCACGAGCCCAGGGCACTGCTCCCTGAGTGTCCCCTTCCAGCTCAGGGATGCTGTGTTGGGATGAGGGGATGGAGCAGAGGCATGAGGGATGTGATGGGTGTTTCAACAGCCCTGAGAGGACCCCAAAACCCTCATGTTTTCCCTCCTCACTGCACCAGGGAGGGATGCTCGTTGACTACTGACCCTGGGACAGCCATGAAAGGCTGGAAATCCAGGGAGAATTACAGAAATCTCATGTAGGACAAGTTTTGGTCACTTCTGTACATCAATGCTTTACCCAGTACTGAACTCGGTCCTTGTCAGTGCTGCAGAAATGCCCTGTGCTCCCTGCTCCAGATACATCCCACCCCACCAAAATAATGCCCAGTTTAGGAATCACATCACAAATATTTCATTATATATTCCTGCTTTTCTACCCTGAGCAAGTGCTGCTAACTCAGGAATGCTATGAAACACCCTCTGCCCCTCCAACTGTCCCTGCACTCATGGTATTGAATCACTGAGTCTTGCAAGTTGTATTATAAGAAGAATCCTAAATGCCCCTAAAACTCTCCAGAAATACAACAACCCCAAAGCCACCAGGGGCTGTGTATACTACAAAAGCTGCCAGAGGATGATGCAGCACCATGAGTGGGACCTGTGTCCACGCACACATCCAACCTTTCTCCACCTGACTACAGAAATCAAGGCAGCTGTTTCAGCCCACACTGTGTTTTCTACCCCCTGTAATGAGTCACTTCATCTGGGGGTTAAACTGCATGTCAGGAACCTCTGGGCTCCTCTCAGCATGTGGGGATAACAAAGACAATGTAAGAAATACAAGGAAACTGTGACTGTGGCACTCTGAAAGGGGAATTAATTTCCTTCATGCACCTTTGGCACCCTTGGCTTTGAGCCTTTGCTTCACCCAGCACAGGGGAGCTCTGCTCCCACCCTCCTCTGGCTGGGAACCCTCCAAAGGCATTTCCACCTGTGTGTAAGCAGGGAGAACACCATTATTTGCCCCCAGGCACCCTCAGGCAGAATAAGCTGATAGCAGGGATCACCCAGCCCTGCACACGTGCTGGGATAAACCCCAAAATCAGAGCAGCCCCCCCAGTCCAGCTCTGTGCAGCTCCATGTCCCACCCCAGCGTGTGACAACCACAGTCTCGACAAGAGGTTTATTCAGGTGTGAACTTCTGTGCACAGGTTTTACTCTACTTTTTTTACTGTTTCTTACTCTAAGTGTGTGCTGGGAAGATGAACAGTAAATCAAGTACTTGGAATGGAGCTGTAAGGAAAGGAGGGGGTTTGCAGGTGAGAGGAGAAAAAGATGGGGGAGAAAATCAAACTAAATAGGGGAGAAAGAGGAAGATGCTTTGGACTATAAAGATTATTATCTGTTAAAATCCAAGAGATGAAACTCTTTGGACCAATTATTCTGCCATTAAGCATTGGAGATAAACCAGAACACCGAAAACCAGAAAATGAGGTAGGAAATGCTGCAAAAATTCACATTGTCCTGTGACAAGGAGCTCTTGGGAGTCTTCCTCGCCCACTTCAATGAACACGACTCCTCCTGGGACAACTCTGCCTCTTCCGACACCACGACTTCCCTTACTTTTTTCCCAGCTTAGGAAATTCCTACAGAAACCCTCTAAAAACAATCACAACCACACCCATGTCTTTGAAAAAGCCCTTTCCCACTGCCTGTGTCTATTTAACCACCACCTTCCCCTGCCCAATTCTTTCCCAGGAATTAAAAACTTGCTAAAAAGAAAAATTAATGGTAAGTTGACCGAACCATACTGGGGTGAGATCCAGACCCCACAGACACATATGTGTCTATATATGCAATATTTAATTTCCTCAAGGATACTGGCAGGCTCTTAGAAAAGTTTAAGTCACATTTGCCAATCTCTGATGCTGGAGGCGACAAAAAGAATCCTAATGAACTTAATTAAATAGTGAGTCCCCTATAGCATACAAACTCCTTTAATTAGTGGCAGTGTTCATGGCCCTTAAAGATTTACAGAAAACACTTAATCATTTGGCAATAAAAAAAAAAAGAAAATGCTGTGAAGTACTATTAGAAGAAGGGTAACTATATCACAAGGTTGAATATGTATTGATATACTAATATTTACCAATATTTATGCCAGTGTATCAGTATTACAAGAAGATTATGAGGTTTGGATATTGAAAGAACAGATTTTTTTCCTATTAACCCAACAGAACAATTTACCATTCACTGCATTTCATATTTGAGAGATTTGCTGAAATTAACACACTTTTTTTTGCTCCCCTCTATTACTCTCCTTCCTCCAAGAACTATTAGCTCCTAAGCTTAAAGAAGATTTATCAGTCATTTGAGAACTTCATTCCAAGCCAAATTAATAGGAAATTAATTGAAAAAGGCAGGAGAAAAATAAAAAGTGAGGCAGAAGTGAGCTGTGAGTGCTGCCAGCAGCTCCTGGACCGAGCCCCACTCGCTGCAGCAGCTTAATTCGTCCTTAGCAAACAAGCCCAGCTAATTACTCAGTCAGGGAAAACGAGCCTTTGCAACCCATGGCCAGCCAAGGAGGGATAAAGCAGATTTTCCCTGGCTATCATGTCCATCTGAGGAGGTGAAATGGCTTTTTCCTTTAATCTGATGATCCAGGGCCAGGTTTCTATATCCCAAACCCCCACAAGCGTCCAAATAAACTCTCCCAGCCCATTGGCACAGCAGGCTCTGGACAAACCTCTGACCTCTTCATAAACCCAAGAAAAGAAGCAAGAAATCCTAAACCCAGACCACGAGTGGAAAGTACTTCTCTTACTTGCATTATTAATTTTCCCCTCTCCTCCAAAGCACATGGCAGAAGGAGAGGGGGTATCCAGCAGCCCCTCTTGGACCTGGCAGCTCAGCACCAGCCTTGGCCAAGGGATGGGGGAGATGGGTTGGGATGAGCTGGGTGACCCCCCCAGCTCTCACACCATCCCCACCTGCACCAGGTCACCCTGCCCTGTTGTTATTTGAGCTTCCACCTCCTGCCATTTGATCCTCTCTCAGTCCTTTGGGAGAAGAATGATGGACACAGATGTAACAGGACTGGCTCCACGCTGGGCTCCTCCTGCAGCCACAACAATCAAAAATCCACCCCCTCAGCACCTTTTTTCCCAGCTCTATGTGAGGAGCCAAAATCCAGTCACTCCACTGGGGAGGCAGAGCCTTGTCTGGGACAGCAGCAGGGCTGGAAGCACCCAGTGATGCCACCAGTGGAAGTGTCACCACCCTGTGCCCCCAGTCAGATCCAACACTTCCAGCTGGAATTAGCTCCTGTATCCTAAACCCAGGCATCTCCCCCTGCTTTAAATATTGCCTTCCCTCTTTGAGATTAATAGTGTCAGATTAAGGGGATATCAATTACAGAACGTCCTGATGTGGAAGGGACCCACAAGGATCACTGATGTCCAACCCCTGGCCCTACCAGGTGGAGGCCCCACCATCCAGCTGAGGTTCCCTTGGAGGACATATGAGTAACAATTAGTATGACTACCTTGATAATGTGATATTAGATGAAAAACTACTGCTTGAACCATAGAAGCAGCATCTCTGCCCAGTTTCACACTCCTGGGATGAGGCAGCAGTGGCCAGACACACACCAGAGCACTGGCAGAAGATGCAGCACCCCCTTGAACTCCAAAGAGCAGCTTCCCTTGACTCCCATCCACTTCCAAGCCTTCTCTCACCCCACGCAATGTGGATTTTCATGCCAGGAACAGAATCAGAGCTGACTTTCTCACTTACTGAATCACACACTTATTTTCTAATGCAGGGAAGGGCATCCTTGGGGAGCACAGCTGGAACCCCAGAGATGCCCCGTGCAACAGGAATGTGCAAACCCATCCTGTCCCATTAACATTTACTTAATTTCTCCTGTTTCTTCCTCGCAGCCATGAAATCCAATATTGTCACCATGACTAACCCATAAAATCAGGATGGCAGTGCTGCTCCTTGCTTTGCAATTAGAGCCACGTGTGGTCCCCAGGGCAGCTGTCACCAGCAGGAAGATCTTGATGCTGAAAACATCAACGTTCCATGGTGTCAGGCAGAGCCAGCACTCACTCCTGGGGGTGTGGAGGTATGGAGCAGGCAGGAAATTAGAGCCCAAGGTCAGATTTCAGGAAAAAGTTAGGTGAGGCAATTCTCCATGAGGGAGTTTACCTGGTAACAGCCAAGGGCTTTCCAAACCTGACCCAGCAGTCAACAAGGTGATCAATGACTTCTGAAAACGTCAGGTGGGTCTTCAAAGGAGAACAACAGGTTTTCTGTAGAGATCCATGTCCTCATTGTGGAGATGGCTGGGTCCATGGCTGGACCTCCATCTGGCAGGACGTCCATCCAGTGGGACACACATCTTCTGGGACACCCATCTGCCAGGTCACATATCCTTCTGGGATATCCACCTGATGCAACCCTCATCTTCTGGGTCATCCATCCACTGGGACACCCACTTTTTTGCTACCCACCCTCTCACTGCAGCAAGTTGAGGGTGCTGTGGATCTCTGCAGAAGGCTTTCCCCAGCCCAAGTACTATTCCTGGGGAGTCACAGCTTTGAGCTGAAGGTGAGGGAGGGAGAAAACCAGGCTACAACTCATTTGTGGAGCAGACATGAAGTTGGTTGATGCCTTTCCAAGCAGCAGGGAAAGCCAGCCTGAGGTTTCCACGCTGGCATCAAAAAGGAAACAGAAACCAGGTTTGCTCTCCGTGTGATAATCCCGCAGGCAAGCTCCAGCATATTGGATAAACCTTCCCAGAAATGGGGTTTCTGCCATTAGTCCACATGCTCATGGATGTCTCCCAGCCAAGAGGCTCCTCAATCCCCCAGGCGCTTGGGCACGGTCCCTGCCCGCAGCAGGACCAGCAGTAATAAAGCTGTCTGCAACCTCTCCCCTCAGGGATTTCCACACCAGAAATCCAGACCACATCCACACCTTTCCAGCCAGGATGGGGGAAATAAGAACTGCACTAAAGCTGGAAGCACAGTTCAGAGTCACAGTCGTGGCAGAAGTGGAGAGGGAGGTAGGAAGTAGCACTATGGGATTTTAATTGGATGTTAATGGGATAAAAAAAGTGCAAGAGATGGAATTAGCCCAGGAAAAAGGTGGAATAAAGATGCACAAAGCACATGCTGACAGAAATAAAGAAACTGGTGGAGCTGCTCTTGCAGAGCTCTGTGCTGGGCCAGATCCCTGCCCCTACCCTGCACAGCAAGGACTTGTTAGCACGGCACAGGGAAGATGCAGCACAGGCTTATCAGCGTTATCCCTGCGCCAAGTGCTGTTGAGAAGGGCTGGAAATGCACCTCCAAAAGGGGACAATGAACCCACCCTCCTTGGAGACCATCACAAACCAAACCCTGTGAGATTGTGCAAAATAAAGGCTCTTAAAAACTGCTGGAACCCCCAAAAGCAAACCTGACCAGCAAACCCTCTCTGCTTCCCTCTGCAGCACGGCCGGGCGAGCCAAGATCCATCTGAACCAGCTGCACTGCACTTCCAGGCTCAGAGCCAGCAACAGTGACAGATTTCCACATAATTTATCTGCTAATGACATTCCACAGGACCCACCATGGATGTGGGCTGCTGCAGCCTCTGCTGCTGGGTGTGGGGCAGCCTTTGGTGAAGATGTGGGACTGGGGATGCAGCAGTACAGGCTGTGAGGAGGAGCTGCTCCTGGAGGTGCTCTGGCTGCAGGACACAGCTGACACAGATCCCTAAACTGCAGGGCAGTGTGGCCAAGTTTCCCTGTGCTCCTGGCACAGCCTCATCCTGCAGTTCCTCACTACAGAGCCATGACTTCCCAGTGTGTCCATCAGCAGATCCCTCTCCCCTGGCAGAACCAGTCACCAGGTGCCGTTTTCCCTCCACTTTTGGCTACGTTTCTCCCTGGACAATTTTTCACAGAAAGAAAAAAGGATTTTTTCCCCCTCCAGCTGCTGATCTCGTTTTCAAGTTATCCATCTCAGTCACTGTTGCCAAGCCTGCTCTGCTGCCCAGAGCCTCCAGCCCAGATCCAGCCTGGACAACTTTCCCAAAACCACAAAAGCTTCTCAGTATTGCAGGACAGGGAAGGAGCATCAATTGAAAAAAGCTTCTTGCTGTGTGCCCATCCAAGTGTCAACTGAGATTCTCTTCCTAGCCACCACACCTGCAGAGAAGTCCTGGAAAACTAAGCTCAGAGGCTTGAATATTGGCAAATAGAAGTCCAATAAAAGCCCAACATTATATTCCCTAAATACTCACAATTTTCAAGCCAAACTCACTTTTTCTCTGGACTATCCTCCACAGAAGCACATACAGAAGCATTGCAGCTTCTGAGATGACTTCTTACTCTTATTTTTTTTTTTGTAACTAGCATTATAATGGTTCTGCTTTTCTGCATTTTGCATTTATCAGCACTTCCCCCCCTGCCCCATCCACACAGAGCCAATATTCCCTAATTAAGGTTTTTCTCCTCCAATTACAGTTCTATAAACCCAAAGCATTTCCTGCTGCCTGAGGCTGTACTGGTGGTGTGGGGGGAGGCAGGATTTTGGAGGTATTTTGTCTGTTGCTGATTTATAGGGATATTTTTGTACATCAGAGAGTGATAACAAAATTTCCTGAAGTGCTTTTCCCAAATACTGACTCAGCCCAATTCCCTGCGCCTCGGAGCATCTCAGCATCCTGGACAGGGGGAGATGCAGAGGCCCCACAGCTCCCCACGTGCTGCTCAGCCTCTGAGCCTGAAAACTTCTGACAGCTTCTCCTCATAATCCTCAAATATGAGCTGACAAGTGCAAGTTATACTCGGTATGCTGGGGATTTGAGATGATATTTAGAGCTACGGCGCTGCCAGGGCTTGACGAGTGAGAGCCTTCCCTGCTCAGGATCATCCCCTGGCTCCAGCTAACAAACCATCCTGCCTGGATTTATTGCCAGCTTGGCTTTAGAGCAGAAAAAATGCAATGTTGTATTTTGCTCCACACACCCCAGTCCCGAGGCTTGCTGTGCTGGTAAGGAAGGGGGAGCACAGTCCCAGCTGCCACAAAAACCCCCAAAGGCAGCCATGAAGGAAGGAGGAGACCCTGAATGTCACCTGGAGGTAACCCCACACAGGACAAGGAAAGTTGCAGTCACCAGGAAACTCACAGCTTCCCTCCTGCAAGTCCGAGGGGCTCAAATCCAACCCAAACCCCACCACCAGCTGCATTTCAGCTGCTGCCTTGGCTCTGCTCTACAGCTGTGGAGGAATTCCTTTGCAGTGCTGCAATGAGCCCTCACACCCCAGTCCTTCCCAGCTCCACACCACCCCTCACTGGGGCAGGAGAGCAGGGGGCTCCCAGGGACACCAAACCTCCAGCAGGAGCACCAGATGAATGCACTCTGCAGAGTCCAAGTGAAAAGGGACTTTTCCTTTCCTTATTAATCAACATTTTGAAAGTTGAGGGAGTGTCACCACGTTTCTCTTCACAGGGAAAAGCAAGGCACAATTCTTCCCAAGAATATTTCTGGATTTCACATTCTCTGAACCTCAGAGAAAGAAAAAAAAAATTCCTATCTCATTTACTGCTTCTGTGTTCACAAGTGGAATGCATCGTGAAAGACTGTTTACCTGAAGGGAATTAATAATTGAATTCTGGTGTGAGTGTTTTGATTCACTGACCCATTGAATCCATGTGTGTGTGTGTTGGGACTGTCAGCTGACAGTCACAAAATTCTGTGCAAGGTGTGCAATTGAGTACTGGGCAGATTCAGTTTAAATGTAATATCATATAATATAGTATAGAATAATATAACATAGTAAAGTAAAAATTAGCCTTCTAATAAGACTCCTCCACATCATTTCTCCCTTCATCAGGGGAGACATGCAGCTGCGGGAGGCGCAGCCTTACCCTGCAGAGCCTCCTTGGCACGTGCCAGCTCCTGCTCCTTCTGTGCCAGCTGCACCTTCAGCTCGGTGGCCGAGAGCACCTCTGGGGACTTGCTGCCGTGTGTCTCCTCCAGGTCCTTGGTCAGCATTTCCTTCATTTGCCGGAGCAGGTGGACCTCCTCCTGCAGCTGGGCCACCTCCTCCCGCAGCAGCGCTGGAGGAAGAAGGGACACAATGTGAGGAAGTGAGAGACGGCCCCGGCACAGCCCCAGCTCCTGCTGCAAAAACCCAAACCCCGGGGAAACGCGGCCGGGGCAGCCCCTCCCTGCTGGCAAAACTGCTCTGCACAGCCCAAACCTGCACCAGCTGGGGCTGGAGGAGGATGGAAGCAATGGGAAAGCACTAGGAGGGAGGCAGGGAGCCTCCACTGGGTGATGGCTTTAGCATTGAACAAATAAAAATAGATGTTAGTATGTAATAGTAACAGTAAGAAAAAAACAGGAAGGACTTTCCTATCCAAACCACTCGCTGACAGGGCTGGGGTCCAACAGAGTCTCCTGAGCTCCCACACATCTCAGCTCTGCCTCCAGCCACCCACATGCTCAGGGCACACTCAACAAAACACTGTGAGACTGGAAAAGGGAAGATGACGCTTCCATCCACAGCCTCAAATCCTGGATTTTGCAGATTTACACCCAGTGACTGCTCACTCCTCCAAGCAGCTACACTGCAGGAGCATCCTGGCAGAACCCAGCTGGGATTCCCTCCACAGCAGGGACTGGAGGAAAGCTCCAGCACCTCATTTCCTACAGCTGCACCCACTGTTTAGTGCAATAAAGTGCTTTTCTGCTATTTCCACACTGCACCCATCTCCCTCATCCTGCAAAACACTTTCAGGCTGTGCAGGTGCCACTGCAAACCTCCCTCCAAGTCTGCTTTGCTTTCCCTCCCCTTTTAAAACAGATGGAAAAAAGCCCTTTCACATCTCAGATTGGCTTATTGATTTCATAGAAACACGGAATGGTTTGGATTGGAAGGCACCTTAAAGACCCTCCAGTCCCACCCCCTGCCACAGGCAGGGATAATTTCCACTAGACCAGGTTGCTGTAAGTCCAACCTGGACTTGAACACTTCCAGGGGTGGGACATCCACATCCTCATGAGTTGGCATCATGGACACGGGGACAGAAAATGCCCTCATCAGCACACACGTCACAGTTACCACAAAAATGAAACAGAAATTAAACCCAAACACTTCCTCTCCAAACCACTGTGCTTGTGTCCTTCCCCCGAGTAGCAGAGAGCCTGGAGGACACCAACTGGACATGGAACACAGGGATTTCTCCCCGTGCTCTCCCTCTGCAGTGCAGGGGCCGTTTCCTGTCCGGGCTGGGAGGTGACGCCGGCGGCAGGACAGGGAGAGGCAGCTCCCCCCCGGCAGCTGCGCCAGGAAGGCAGAAAATCTGCTGCACATACTTGAAATGCTTCCCGAATGAAAACTGGCAAGGCCCCATTCTGCAAATTATTTAGCAATAAAGTCACTAATGAGGAACAGTCGAGCTCCGGGCTGGGGGGTTTGGTGCAGCCCGATGTGCTTTCTTGAGCTCCGTGCAAAAAGCAAGAACTGGAGGAGGCCAAGGCCAAGGATCTTCCCCAGGGATGGGAGAAACACAGCGTGTCCCCTCCAGCCTCTGGGAATCCTGAGAGGATGTGAAGGGCTCACACATGGTGGAGTATTTAGTGTGCAAAACCCACCAAGTGCCTTCCCCAGCCACAGAAAGCCCCCTGCAGCCCCACAAAATACCCCTGGCTGCAACAAATTGCTTTTTTCCCCCCACTGATAACTCATTTTCACCTTTCCTTACATGCCACTTCATCAAGGGCTATTCCTGGGAAAAAAATGAACCAGGAGATGAGGATGGAGGCAGGGCAGCTTGCATGGGGTTGACTGATCCTGATGGATTCCTGCAAATTGCAGCGTTTTGGTGGGAACCAAGAAAATCCCCACACAGCAGGAAGTGATCTGAGAAAGGGAGAGGGAAAACAAGACAAGGACAGACAGCCCGGGGGGAATTCTGCAGCAAAGAAATCCAGAGGGGTCCTTGGGCATGGCCCAAGGTGCTGTAATACCCTGCCCAGTGCAGCTCTCAAAAAATGCACTGATCCCCTCTGCTCACAGTTAGAAACACTGAAAAAAATGGAAAAGCATCTCTTCTCCTAAACAGGCAACAAGGGAATTCCATCCCCTCTTAGTACTCGGCTCCTGATGCAGGCACAAACTGCTGAAGGATTAAAATCTGAGATCTATGAGAAGCTACAGATGTAATCTGGAGAGAAACATGCAGCACCATGCTCCTCACACTGCTGGCTGCAAGCCAAATCCTAGAGAACCTGAATTATTGATCAGCCATATATCCAAAATTCTTGCTGTTTTACACATATAATTTGAGATAGACATATATATATATATATATGTATGTATATGTAGAAAAAAGGATTATGCTTTGCAATATATAGTTATATTTGCTACATATACTTTATTATATATATGGAAAAGCCAAATACGGTTTAAATATATATTTAAAATTGGAAAGCACAATCCATGCAGCCAGGGTTTGATAGGAAAATCCCTCTTTCCAACTCCCTCTCAGGGCTCCTGCCAATGTCATGGTGTCACAAACTGGTTTGGGTTGGAAGGGAGCTTAAAGCTCATCTTGTTTCACTCCTTCCATGGGCAGGGACACCTTCCAGCATCCCAGGCTGCTCCAAGCCCCATCCAACCTGGCCTGGAACTTCCAGGGATGGGGCTGCCAGAAATTCTCTGGCCACAAACCTGTAATGACACTCATTTGTATACAGGATTTCCATCACTCCAATGCTTCCCACAATTCTGCCCACCAAAATCACACCAATTTTCCCACTCAAAGCACAGAGCATCTGCTCTCCATCTCTCTTCTCCAAGCTTCCACCCCAACTCTCCTGCACACAAGGGTCCTATGGAGAAATCCCGTGTTATTGGCTTAATTTGCACTAAGACTCAGCTTGAAAGGGAAATTTTAGCTTCGTTTTAAAACAGGGGGGAGCAAACCCCTGCTGCTCTGCCAGGTTTAAGCTGAAAGGGAAATTTTAGCTTCATTTTAAAACGGGGGAGCAAACCCCTGCTGCTCTGCCAGGTTTAAGTACCTAAATGAACGACCTGAAAGGTGCTGTTTGCAGGCAGCTCTTGGAGATTGTTACAGGAAAGTTCCAATAGCTGGGAAAATGGGGTCAATTATTCAGGAACCTCATCTCAGCCCCTGTTTTTTCCACATCCAGATGGCTGAGGGAGGATTTCCATGTGATTCCTGTCAGCTGGATGGAGCTGTGCCTCTACCTGTGCCTCTACCCAAAGCTGCAAAGGAGTTTGCAGTGAGCATCAGCCCTCTCTAGCAGGGAGCAGGGCTCAGTGCCCCTCACAAGAGACTCCACACACCCCCCAGCAAGATGCACAAGCAATCAGGAGAAGAGAATATTTTTAAAGGCTTTTTTTTTGCAGTTCACCCTCGCAAGCATCACTATATCTCGGTGTAAAGTGAAATTTGCCATTAGGAATCGCCTCCTAAATGCAACAACCTCATTGTGAAAAGCTTCCACGGCACTTTTCCCCCAATATTTTTGTCCCTTTTAATTTTTCCCTTGTCTTTTTAACCCTTTTTTGGTGGGGAGGGGAGGGGAATTGGGTGCTTTCTATAATTCCTGACTACCCAAAGGAGGAGATATTGCCTTGCATGAACAAACCCCGTCACTCATTCCAAGCCCTTCCAAACCTGCTGCAAGTGGGCAGAGATGAAATGAGAGCAATTTAAACATTTCCCAGACCAACTGATGAAAACTACCATTCCCACTGAAATAATTGGCTGTTAATTATATTTTAGTTGATCACATTAAACTTCCGTGACACTGCTGGATTCTGCATCCTTTATGCTTCAACCACTGATGGGTGTTAACAGACAATGCCAATGAAATTTTTTTTTTAAAATTGTGGTGAACATCTCCAGACAGCATTTGGGGCTGAAGTTTCCACTCCTGCTCCTGAAAATCCCATCCTGGACTCCTCTGGGCAGCAGCCCAACCCTCCATGCAGCAGCAAAGCCTTTTACTGGCCTTGGAACAGGCATCACTTTAAAGACATCCATTTAAAAGCCTTTTTTTTCCATGTAACTCAGCTGACACGATTGCTGTACACGCATTCCTGTCTTTGGAGGGGACATATTAAAAATGGATGCAGAACAAATGGCGAGGCTCGTGTGGGTGAATCAGTATCTCAGGTGAAAGCTGCATTTTGTGCCGCTTTTGTGAGTTTGATGGTGAGATGGCTTTTGCTTTGCTGAGCACAAGTCAAGGGTGTGTTTTTATCCAGAACATCAGCAGGATAAATATATATCCTGTATTCTATATATCACCTCTGTCCTAGGATGAGAAATGCAAGGGTCATAAAGAACCTTTTAGGAAAAAAAAATATTCAAGACTCAGGGATGAGCTGAGTTTGTATTTTAAAGAGCATCTTGCCCCCTCTGATTTTTAAGCAGCTTCTCAGCTTAGGACCTCCCTCTTGCAAAGGTGCAGAAAGCTGGAGAGGGACTTCTGACAAGGGTCTTGAAGAGACAGCCAAGGGGGATGGCTTCCCACTGACAGAGGACACACTTAGATGGGATATTGGGAAGAAATTCTTCCCTGTGAGGGTGGGGAGGCCCTGGCACAGGGTGCCCAGAGAAGCTGTGGCTGCCTCATCCCCAGACGTGTCCAAAGCCAGGTTGGACAGGGCTTGGAGCACCCTGGCATAGCGGAAGGTGTCCCTGCCCATGGCAGGGGTGGGATGAGATGGACTTTAAGGTCCCTCCAACCCAAACCATGTGTAAGAGGACACAGCCACAGCCACTGCCCAGCTCTTGCTGGGGCAAAGCCAATACATCCAACCTCTCCCTTTGGCACCTGGACACCAGGATGGACTCACAGTGACTCAAAACAAGCCCCCTCTCTGCCCCACAGCACCATCTCCTCAAGGGGATAAGCACAAGGCCTGACATTTGTAAATCAGCACTTCAGCCCAGCCCTGCACATCCCTCAGTACAGAGTCCCTGCAGCACCAAGGCTCTCCATGGCCTCAGAGGAGCTGCCAACCACCCAGTGCTCCCTCCCAGGGTGGTATCAGCACAGCCTCTTGGATTAATAAAAT